CTCCTCTGGCAGTTTCTTGATTCTGTTTAATTACCAGAGAAAAGGCTAGAAAACTGGTCTGTGGGTCATACGTGGTTTGTGCTGCTCTGAACCCAGTCCTACTGGAGCACAGCCATGTCCACACACTGGATAGCTCCCCATGTTGTGCCTGCTGAGCCCAGTAGCTGCTACTAGCATCGTGTGGCCCACAAACCAAACACTTGGACCTTTACAGGAGGCACCTACCAAGCAGGCTCTGCAGAACTGAGTGCAGGCAGATGGACACTGCCACATTAGAAGCCTTTGTGTCTACACTGCAACTGCTTTTCTTAGTGAGACATCACCTTTACAAGTGCTCAGGGTGCAGTGTCAACTTATGACCTACTAACTAGAGCAACCTGATGGATTATTTTTATTAATACCTCATCTTCACTTGCCTTTTAAAAATATTTTACTTTTTTTTTATGTGTATGAGTGTATTTCCTGCCTGTGTGTAAATGCACTGCTGGTGTACAATGCCTGCAGAGGTCAGAAGAGCACTTCGAACGATCCTTGGAACTGGAGTTATGGACAGTTGTGAACTGCCATGTGGGTGCTGGGAATTGAACCCGGGTCCTCTACTACTGCTCTTAACTGCGGAGCAATCTCTTCAGTCCCTTGTCTTCTCTTTTAAAAGATGGGTATATTAAACCCAAAGCACATAAAAAGAAACAACAAAGATCAATATGGAAAGAAAACAGAAAAGATTAATGAAACCAGAAGTCAACTGCTTAAAAGGATCAACAAAACTGATAAACCTTTATTTAGCAAGGGAGAAGAGAAGGCAGATTGGTAAACTCAGGTACAAGCCGAGAGCACTGCCAAGCCCCATAAAAACAGTATGACTGGGGACATAATGAACAAGTCTGTCAAGAAATCAGACAACTTGGGTGAGATTGAGTAGAAAGAGTTCGATTCTTGAACTCCATGAAAGGAGAAATAAAAAGACACCCAACAAGCACAGAGTAACAAAATCTTCCTGCAAAGAGACACCCAGGCCCTGCTGATTTCACTTAAGATTTAAAGGATGAAGAAAAGTATCAATCTGTCACCATCTCCGAGAAAACAGAGAGAAAAAACTTCCAGCTGATTGTAGGAAGGCTGAAGGCGGACATTTCCCTGATACTGAAGTCAAAGACATCCTAAGAAACAAAGGCCCCAGAACAACATCCCCCACGTGATGCGGAAGAAAAGTCCTCCATGGAGTACTACAAATGAAAGCAACATACAAAAGGTAGATATTTAATTGTCAACTAGAACTTACCCCAGGAGAAGGAAAACTGCCCTTGTTCTTGGGTCACATGACTTTGTATGTGGATGGGGAAAGCTGTTGCTTCTAGTACACAACAGCTAACTAGGGGCTGAAGACATGGCTCAGCGGTTAAGAGCATGGACTCTTCTTGCAGAAGAACAGGTTCAAATCCCAGCACCCACATGGCAGCTAACAACTGTCCTTAACTCCAGTTCCAGGGGATCCAACAGCCTCTTCTGTCCATGGGCATTGCATGACATGGGTACACTTACCTACATGCAGGCATAACACTCATACACAGAAAATAAAAATAATAAAATATTAAAAAAAAAACAAGAAACAAAACAAAACAAAAAACAACTAGAACTCTTAAAGGAATTCGGCAAGGCCACAAGACAAAAGATGAATATGGGAAAATTCTGTATATTTACGGATGGTGTATGTGCAATAAATGCCCAGTATGAAACTAAGAAACATTTGCACCTATACTAGAATGAAAAAAAGGACCATTTTTAGAAATGAACTTAACTTAGTTGTATACCAAGTTACAACATAACGCAGTGGCAGAACACTTATCCAGCATGGACAAAGTCTCTGTTCTATCCCCAACAAGGGCATAAGGAGAGGAGGGAGGGAGAGAGCTAGAGAGGGAGTAGGGGTGAGGAGGAAGGTTTGTAATTGTAACACTGAGAATTATAAAACACTTCTTCATATTAAGTACCTAAATAAATGGAGAGATCCTGTGTTCATGGGTTATAAGACTTAAATTTGAGAAAATATTCACCAAAGTGTTCCACAGATTCAAAGAAATCCCAAGACCCTGCTGCTTTTGTTTTTGTAGAAATGGACAAGCTAATTCTGAAACTCATTTGGAAATTGCAAATCAGCCAGAAGAGGTAAAACTACCTTGAAAAATAAGAACAAAGATGAAGGACCCATATTTCCTTTTTTAGAAACTTGTAAACAACAACTCAAAGGAGAAAGAAGTCTTTTAAATAAGTACCAATATGTACACTCAGAAGGAGAATTTGAACCCATATCTGAATTTGTACCTCTCAATGTCATTTCATATAAAAATTAACTGTAATGGATGAAAGGCCTAATTTAAGAGTGAAAATAAATTTTTAGACAAAAATGGCATCCATCTTTTTATCTTGAGATGGGTCAATGACTTCTTAAACACTACAAGCACAGCAATAAAGAAAGGGTTATTGAGTGGGCTTAAAAAAAATAAAAGCTTCAGGGGCTGGAAAGATGGCTCAGCGGTTAAGAGCACTAGGTGATCTTGCAGAGGACCCGGGTTTGACTCCCAACACCCACATGGAGACTAACAACCATTCTAACTCCAGTTCTAGGGAAATCTGATGCTATCTTCCTACCTCCGTGGGCACTGCATGACATGGGTTCACTCACATACATGCAGGCAATACACTCATACACATAAAATAAATAAAAATATTTAAAAATTTTTTAAAAAGCTTCAGAGACACCACAAAGAAAATGAAAGACAGAGATAGACCACAGGCTGGGAAAAGACATTTTCACATCACAAATTTGGTAAAGAAATTCTACTCATAGTACATTTTAAAAAAAGAAGAATCTCTTTCCAGACAGCTGGGAAGCTGTGCCTATGGACTCACAGCAATGGTGACAACTCACACAAGACCCACACAAACTCAAGCCAGACAAAATCCCAGCAGTCATGGGGAGTGGGTAAGAAACCCCGACCCCACCCGAGGAATGCCTGGCAACTGATGGCTGCTGGGAGGTGAAAGTCAGTCTCTTAGGACGTGACTCTTGGAAGGATGACCAGGCATCAGTGGATGGACTCACACTAAACGGCATTTGGGGACACAAACCTGACTTTATAGGCCTTAAAAAAATTATATATATGGTGAAATGAAATTGGTTGGGTGGGGGATAGTAAGGGTCAGAGGAGTGCAGATAGGGGAGGGGATCTAAATATGATCAAAATATATTGTATGAAATTCACAAAAATTCAATAGAAAAGGAGACAAAGCATCAAACGAAAACAAACCACCCAAACCTCTTACAACTCAGCAAGACAACAAATAAGCTAATTTCAAAATGGGCAAAAGAACCGAACAGGCATCTCTCCAAAGAGGATATAAGAATGAGGCTGGCAAGATGGCTCAGCCAGTAAAGACACTTGCCACCAGGCCTAAGGACCTGAGTTCCATCCCAGGACCCAGATAGTGGAGGTCCTCTAACTTGTGCATGCCCATGAACACATGCACACGTGCACACCCACCCACACATGCACGCACGCACACACACACACACACACACACACACAAATGTAACAAGAAAGAAGGTACACGGATGGCCAATAAGCACAGGGAACACTGTTCACACCATTAGAGAACACAAACCAAAGCCACAGGGCACCACCACTTCACAGTAGGCAGCGAGGCTGGTTACGAAGCCAGACGGTGAGCACTGCTGACCAGAGTGCGGAGAAGCTGAGACAGCCATGCGCTGCTGGAGCAAATGTAAGATGACACAACGGCTCTGGACAAAACACACACCTACCACATATGACCCAGCAATTCTAACCCTAAGACATTAAAGCACATGTCCATACAAAGACCTGCTTAAAGTGAGCAATGAACGAAATGGGCACACAATTCATGTGCCCCTCAACAAGGACATGAGTAAACAACATGCATGTACATGCTCCATCATAAGGGAACCTCAGAAATATGTCGGCAGAGAAGAGACACAAAAGACCACACGCTGGGAGGCCCTGATTACACGAAATGCCCGATGGGCAAATCCAGGGGCAAGAAGCGGCTGATGGTTGCACAGCGATGGGTAAGGACGGGGAGTGACTAAAAATGAACTCGAGGTTTCTTCGAGGGCAGTGGGAAGGTTCTAGGGTTTGACTGTGAGTGGTCGCACCACTCTGCAGCTCAGAAGAAAACCACTCGTGTGACAGGGAGAGCCTTCACCTCAGGCAAACTGCAGAACACCGCAACAAGATTCTAATGCCTGAAGAAATCCTTTTGTGATGTCGACATTTCCTGGCCATTTGTCTCTGAGCTGAAGAGACCAACTAAATAACCCCACAGTGAGGTGATGCAAGAATGCCCCACTTGGGTCAGCTGCTCACATGAGGAGGAAACCCGTGATCTCCTAAAAAGATTTCAGAAAGCTTTAAGGTCAGTTGTTAAAAAAAAATGTGATAGTAAAAAAAAAACAGCAACTGTGACATAATTTGGCTGCTTTCCAGTGCTGACTGTTGAGATTCAGTTACACTCTGAAAAGGATGTTTTCTTGTGAAGAGATCTCCCAGCAGTACTCACCCTGATCTAGCACTTACACATCTTGGCCTGACGTGATAATGAGGCCCAAGCCTCTATTATAAAGGCTGGTTGTTATAGCAGCAGGGCAGAGCCATCTGCCCCCATCAGTGTTGCTTCACCAATGCCGTGGCCTTGTCAACGAGGTGACCCTAGAATCAGGGTGCCCAACCTTGAGACCCTGTGATATGACGCTGTCATCTAGAAATGCACCGGGCTGCATTCACAGCTATCTTGAGCCACAGGTGACTGGCGGGCTGCAGGCTGGATGCACCCCACGCCAGCCGAGCCCCACGGGCGAGCCTGGCAGTGCTGCTTCTACCGAGGGGCAGGGGCAGGAGTGGAAGTGTAGGCCCTGCCTCCTGCCAGCTCTTAAGCAGCAAGCCATTAACAGACAATATAACTTAGCTTTCCTAAAATAAACCATTTATTGAAAAAAGAACCTTTTCTTCAATTTTACTAATGAGCCTTTGCATACCAAACCTGCAGCTTATTAACAAGGTTTCACAGACAGTGCACACAACAAACAGGACTAAAGCAAGGTCCAGGACACCTGAGAACACTACCTTTTCTTCAAAAACACTACACTGATGTCATGGTTCTCAGTCACACGAGGGAGGGAGGAGACGACGGCGACGGTCCATGTACAGTAGTAATGGCACTTGACATGCAGCTTCTTTAACCCCGTCGACACCATCACGCGGGAGGGTCCTGTGCCGTGTCAGACAACAGGAGCAGCAGAAGTGACACTTGTCACGGTGCAGTCTTCAGTCTTGGAAGGTTAAAAAGGCTGTGCTGCACTCTGCAGTCTGTGTAAATATTACATACAGTAGTGATTAAGGAGATTTCCCGAGTCCACACACTACTAGGCCACGGGCTGGTTAGCTTCACTCTTCATCTGTGCAAACCTGTGAGGAAGCACAAGAGCACTGAGCCCGTGCAGGAGCAACCATGCTTGTGTGTGTGCCCACGTGTGTATGTATGTGCCATGTGTGTACCCAGTCTCAGGCCCACAGGGAAGGCCCGGTGGCCTACCTGGCACGAGCACTGACCCTGGAGGGAAAGCTCAGAGAACTGACAGAACTAATTCCCTCAAATGTTTGTGCACCATTCTGGGGCAACGTGTTGTCTATTGACAACTAGGAAACACCTGTTCTGCAATCGCCAGTCCCTAACATCTCTTAGTTAATCCACCTGCTTGCTCCATAATTCCACGCAACACAGTGGCACCCATGCCGCGCCACCCTGTCTTGCTCTGGGAACACCTGTGCAGGGCCTTGCCACACTGCTCTCCAGAGGCCATTCCTACCCACCTTCAAGATTCTCTGACACACTCCTCCAGCCACACTACTGGGCTCCAAATCTCTCCCCTAGTCCAGTTTCCTCTTGGGTGACAGCCTCAAGTAGCCAAATGCTCACCTAAAATCCCCAAGCAAGTGTTCAAACAAACCTTGGATCAACCCTGCTGAAGAGATCATCACCACCTCAACACCCTCAATCCTTTTTCCTATCCTGGTAGATGGACCCTTCATGGCCTGGTGACAAGCCAGAGCCACCCTAGACCCCTCCCTAACTTAATTTCACTTTGGACCTGCTCACCACCCATGGCATTCCAATTCCTGCACATGGTGTGAGCACCGTGATCGACCACTCTCAGCCCCACATGCACCTTCCTTGCTAGCCTTGTAGCAGGGGGTACCCTCCCAGGGTGTACCCCCACAGGGTATACCCCCACAGGCTGTACCCCCACAGGGTGTACCCCCACAGGCTGTACCCTCCCAGGCTGTACCCCTACAGGCTGTACCCTCCCAGGGTGTACCCCCACAGGCTGTCCCCTCCCAGGGTGTACCCTCCCAGGCTGTCCCCTCCCAGGGTGTACCCTCCCAGGGAAACTCCTGCATGCTGCCCTGCTTCCCTGCCCATCCTGTATTCTCAGAACCTCACTCACTCCCAGCTACTCCACTGCTCCCTCAGCTACTCGTCTGCCCTTCTGTCTGGCCAAATCCTGTCAACGGACTCAAAGTACCTGATTTCTAAGAAAGCAGTACCTAGGATTACCTGAGGGCACCAAATCCTCAGGCCCCCACGGTGGTGTGCATGCTGCTATCACAGCTCCTAATAGCAAGTATCACTAACCTCTGTCTGCCAAGCTGACCACATGTTCTCAAGAGTAAAAACATGCCCTCAGCCTCTTTAAAAATTCCACTTAATTAGCTGGGCGTAGTGGCACACGCCTGTAGCCCCAGCACTTGGGAGGCAGAGGTAGGCAGATCTCTGTGAGTTCAAGTCCAGCCTGGTCTACATAGTGAGTTCCAGGACAGCTGGGACTACAGGGAGACCCTGCTTCAAAAAGACCAAAAAAAAAAAAAAAAAAAAAATCTACTTAATTGTCTCAAGCCAGGCGTGGTAATGCATGCCTTTAATCCCTGCACATGGGAAATACAGGCAGGCAGATCTCTGTGAGATCAAGGCCAGCCTGGTCTCCATAGTGAATTCCAGGCCAGCCATGGCTACAGAGAGCCTGTCTCAGAAAGACTGGAAAAAAAAAAAAAAGTTCCACTTAACTGTCTCAAGAGTACTTCAAATGTTCTCTGACATATTAAGACACTGGGTTCTTCTACATTTTAGATACTAGTGTTTTATATTTAAGCTTCCAAATGCCTTGTGCCAGACAAAAAACTGAGCTTAAATGTTTAACCCTGCAGAAGACCATCTCAGCCACCAGCCAAACCTTGACAAAAGAGTGGTCGAGGAGCTGGCTGGCCGTCCATCGCCTCTTTGGGTCGCTTTCCAGGCAGCGTGAGAGGAAGTCCTTCCCTTCGGGGCTTAACCTTTCAGGGATTGGCGGCTTGTGCCCCATTCCCACTTTATACATAATCTGGAAGTTGTGTTCGTACTCGTGCCACGGCCTCTATAAACAGAAAGAAGCAGGTTCAGCAGGGCATGGCACAGAAACAATAAGAACCTAGCAGAGGTTCACAAACTCTCACGGAAAGGACCAAATAGTGAACTGAACATTTTGGGCTTTCAGGGCACGTGGTTGTCTGTCCTAACCATTCAATTCTCTAGCTGGGGCATGAAAACAGCTACAGATAACACATACACAGCAGGTGGAACTGGTCTCCAACGAGACTAAACACAGGCAGCCATTCAGGTTTGCCTTCTACACCCAGAACGCGCTAATCGGTCAGCTTTATCTAGAGGCCATCGCCATAACTAAAAGCTGTAACAGTCAACAGCTCTCTTATGAGGATGCTTGACATGCTGCCTTGTGGAAGAGTGAGAATTTCATTAGTGCAGTGCTTATTTATGATGACTACAGGAAAAAGAGATTGGGAGGGAAAGAACCAAGTCTGCACAGCACCCTAATTTAATTTGCACACTATTTTCAGTTACCGCCTAACGCACTCCTCGATGAATGCATTTCTACATGTCTAACTGGATACAGCAGGTGTCCCAGCCATCCTCCCAGCTTAATGCTAAGGGAAGTGGCTGTGCTGGTCATCACCGAGCACCTACGATGTGTGCCCTTTCTCAACAGCTAAGAACGATCTCTTTCATTAATAACACATAGGTTCTAGAAACACTCTTTTGCTGTGTAAATGACACTACACAGTAGGCACAATTTGTACATATCTTTAGTGTTCGTTTGTGTAATTATTCATCTGCAGGACCTTCATCAGAAACTAAGTGTCTTGATTTAAGGGTGAGGTGCATTTAAAATTTTGATCAGTATGGAAAACTGTTCCCCAGAACTCTTTACCATAATTTTTTAGATCACATTTATTTTATTTTATGTGTATGAGCGTTTTGCCTGAGCACACATAAGTGCACCATGTGTATGCCTGGTGTCTGCAAAGGCCAGAAGAGGGTCCAGATCCCCCTGTAGCTGGAGTTAAGGACGGTTGTTGGCAGCCATTTAAATGCTGGGAATCGCCGGGCATGGTGGTGCACACCTTTAATCCCAGGCAAAGGCAGGCGGATCTCTGTGAGTTCAAGGCCAGCCTGGTCTATTCCAGGACAGCTGGAGCTACAGGAAGACCCTGTCTCAAAAAGACCGAAAAAAAAAAAAAAAAAGCTGGGAATCAAACCCTGGTCCTCTGGAAGAACATCCAGTGCTCTTAACTGCTGAGCCATCCCCCCAACCACAAGCACGCTACCGTTTTGAAATTTTGTCCACAATGTCTATTTCCTCACACCTCTCTAACAGTGAATATTATAAAGCTTTTAAAATGTCACTTATATGTTAAGGAAATTTTAAATTTTACTTCAAAGAGTTTCACACTCTACTGACTGAGCTAGATGGGCACTCATTAAATTTCACTTTTAAAAGTGTAATTCTGGCCGGGTGTGGTGGCGCACGCCTTTAATCCCAGCATTTAGGAGGCAGAGGCAGGCGGATCTTTGTGAGTTCGAGGCCAGCCTGGTCTACATAGTGAGTTCCAGGACAGCTGGGGCTACAAGGAGACCCTGTCTCAAAAAAAGACAAAAAAAAAACAAACCGTAATTCTGATTATCAGTAGGGACTATCGTTTCTTTTTAATGAATAGGCTTAATTTCTTTTAGAGCAGTTTGAGAAATGGCTGGAAAGAGAGTTTGCAAGGGCCCTCACTGGCCTCATCTTCTACCTTCTGCAACCACAGCTTGCACAAGCATGGTCTGTCTGGCACATATTATTGCTAAGCAACACTTGCTAAGCAACATGCATTGCTGGGAGCCACTTCTTGTCTTGCACATTCTAAGGGTTTGACTTGAATTCATCATCCCTTGTGGTTTGAACATGAAATGACCCCCTCAGGCTAACACATTTGAACATCTAGTCCCCAGCTGGTGGCATCGTTTAGGAAGTGGTGCCTTGCTGGAGGAAGTAGGCAACCAGGAGTGGGTCTTGAGGTTTTCTGAGTTTATTTGTATTTCAGGTGTATGAGTGTTTTGCATATAAGTGCAGCTGTGTGTGCAATACCCATGGTAGCCAGAAGGGGACAATAGCCTGGAACTGGCGTTATGGACAGTTGTTAGTTGCCATGTGGGTGCTAGGAACTAAGCTCGAGGCCTCTGAAAGAGTAGTCAGTGCTCTCTCCAGCCCCAGCCATGAGGACTTATGGCCTGGCTGCACTTCTCATCTGCTCTCTGCTTCCTGACTGTAGGCACTTGCCCCTGCCACCTTGCCTTCCCTGCCATGACTGACTGTCCTTTCTTAAACGATGAGTCAAAATTAACCCTTCCTTCCTGAAGTTGTTTCTTGCAAGGTTATTTGGTCACCACAGTAGAGGAGTGTATTAACATACTAAAGAACAGTTTCATGATCCTAAGAATTCCTGTGCTTCACCTACCTGCCTTTCCTTCCCCTGGCAACCAAGATTTTTTTTTTTTTTGTGTGTGTGTGTGTGTGTGTGTGTGTTTGAGGTAAGGCCTGGACACATGGCTGTTGCTGGCCTTAGACTCATGATCCTCCTACCGCAGCTTCCCAGGTGCTGGAGTCACAGAGATGGACTCCAAGCCCTGGGACTGCTAGTCTCTTTTCACTGTCCCAGCAGCTCTGCCTCTCCTACCATGTCACGGAGATGAACTCACAGTAAGCAGCCTTTTCAGATGGCATTTTGCACCTGACTGTATGGATTCACGGTTCCTCATGCCATCCAGAGGCTCCACTGCCTATTCCTTTCTGTCAACGAGCAACATTCCTCTGTATGGGTGTAACATTGTTTGTTGGTCCATTTATCCTAGCCACCGGACCACCAGGGAGGTGCGGTTTGTTAATCCACTCACCCGTTGAAGGACATCTCAATTGTTTCCATCTCATGCCTAAATACCCTCAAGTATTCCCACCCTTTCTCTCATATGACGCTCTACCGCCATCCCTACAGCTCACTTTTAACGCTGCCGCCACCACTGCCGCTCTTTCTTCTGATGAGACCCTTTCTAGTCTCCTCGCATCTACACTCTCTCAGTCATGCATATATAAAAAAAATTAGAAGCTAGGATCTGCATATGAACACATGCGTTTATATGAACTCATACAGCATTCATCATTCTGAGTCTGGGTCGTTTCATTTAATATTTTCCATTCCATCCATTTTCCCACACACTGTGTATTTTCATCTCTGTAAGGCTGAGGAAAACTTTCCATCCTTGTCCTTTCATGTGCTGGTGGACATCTAGGTTGACTCTACTTCACAGACATTGTGAACAAGGCCGGGAGGGGGGGGGGACATGGGTGAGCAGGTGTCACTGCAGTAGGGTGTAAGACCCTCTTGGTACATGGCAAGAGTGGCATAGCTGTGTCATGTGGCAGGTCTCTCTGGCTTTCTGAGACACTGGTCATGTGGCAGGTCTCTAGCTTTCTGAGACACTGGTCATGTGGCAGGTCTCTAGCTTTCTAAGACACTTCCACACTGGTCTCCACATTGGAGGAGTTCATACTCCCACCAACACTGAACAACGGCTCCCTCTCCCTGCGCCCTCACCTACAGTTGCTGTCATTTGTTTTCTTGATAGCATTCAGACAGGGGTAGATGAAATCTCAGAGCAATTTTAATTTGTATTTCCTTGATAGCTAAGGATGCTGAATATGTCTTAAAATATTTTTGGCCATCTATATTTCTTTCTTTGAGAAGTCTCTGTTCAGTTTCTTAGCCCCACCCCCTATTTTCCGGTTGGGTTGTAAAGTGTGTGTGAAGGCTAGTGACTGACCTCAGGTGTCTTCCTCTATCACTCTCCACCTCATTGTTTTCTGTGTCAGGGTCTCTCACTGTACCTGACCTCACTGATAGGCCTGGCTGGCCGGCCAATGAGCTCCAGAGATCCACCTGTCTCTGCCCCCAAGTGCTGAGGTTAAAGAGCATTGCTTCTGCACCGGCTTACTTTTTACACGGATGCAGGCGATCTCAACTCAAGAGCCTCGGGCTTGCATGACAGGGCCTTTAGCAAAGAACCATCTCCCTAGAACGGTACAGAAGCTTCTAAATTTCATGAGGTCCCATCTGTCAAGGTCCTGAACAAATGGAGTCCTAGTCAGAATGCCCTGACTGTGCCTAGATCTTAGTTTTCCTTACTTTTTCAAAACTCCAACAGCTGGAGAATTCCATGTACCACGTTAAAGTATCTGGTTCGTCTGTAGTTGAATTTTGTCCAGGGTGAGGTAAGGACCTAGTGTCATGCCTCTACTGTGGGTATCCAGTATTCCCAACACTACGTGTTAAAGGAGTTGTCTGTTCTCCAGTGAGTTCTTGGAATCTTTGTCACAGCTCAGGTGGCCGTAGATGCATGGGCTGTGCTTCTCTCTGTATTTTAACTCAAGGTTGACACTTCATAAACTCACTCCTAAGAGCTCGTGAGGCCGTATGCCTGATAAATATCTGTTCCTTATCCTTACTGTATCTTAATCTCTAATCGTGTTCTCTAGCAGAAATGTGTCCACAGAACCTCCAGTCATGGTGAAACCTCAGTGCTGTGGCTGACTGAGAGGGGGTCATCTTCTCTGTGCAGACTCTGCTCACCTTACCAGTCACCATCTCTATGACGACACACCCCAAGCTCCAGATATCTGCCGCACGCCCGTGGCCTTCTCCTTTAGCTCGGGTGATGACTTCAGGTGCCATGTAAGCTTTAAAGTCAGATATGGTGATAGCAGTGGGTTACAGCACAGCATTATGTATCTAATAGCTCCAAGAAATAAATTAATATTCTATAATATCCTCCCAAGTTCGTGATAGGAAATGTCGAAACCTTGAAGTTAGGTATTTCAAGTCAACCCAGTGAATGTTCTGGGGACAGAATTCTCTTCTAAAAGGCAACTTTTGAACGTGAAAATTTTCAAATAAATTGTATTCTCAATGAAAACAGGAAATTTAACTTAATGCTAAATGATAAAAACAAGTAGTTACCATATAACTGGTTACTTAAACTGGTAGTTTCAATACCACCAGTGTAAACCACCAGGAGTCCTGGAAGGGAAAGAGGCTTTCCTCCAGCCTCAGCTCTGAAGGAGCAATTTAGTTCACCGTCACTACTGTGCTCAGGTAGATGTCCAAGTATATGAGGATGCAGCCCTCTGGGCGACTGGAACCTTCTGACCTACTGGGCTGTACTGACATGGATCTGGGAAGGCAAGCACAGGTCCAAGCCACTGCCTCAAGTTAAGAGTGCATTGGCCTGCTGGGCTAGCCCTTACCTGCTGTCCCCAGTGTGCTGTTCACCTCTCCAGGCATAGTCTGGGCATTGTTTTTAAGCTTTACCGAGCATCCAAAATCTCCCAATTTGATTAATCCAGATGAAGTAAGGAAGATGTTGGCACCTAACAAGAAACGAGCAGTTGCTGAGCAGGTTCTGAAACGTAAGGTGGGTGCTTTATAACATTTACCTGGCAATCTAAACTGAAAAACACACACAAAAATAAACCTTACTCACAAACTAAATAATACAAAGTTCTATGAACCTTCACTTACCATGTGCATCACAGAAAGATCTGCAGATCTCATACAAACATTATTGGAGAAGATAAGATTCTGAATTAAAATGCACATAAATTCAGACTTAGGTAGAAAAAAATTGTGCACAAAACACGAATGCGTGAGGCAGTCCCTGAACACTGGGGCCATCTGCAATTAGTGGTTTCCCTAAAGGGAATTGGAGACAGAAAAGAATCTGCACACTGGTCTTTAAGAGTCGTCACTGCCGCACACTGGGGCCACCTCCAGGCTCATTTTAAACTGTTACTGAAAACCATGTATCTTAATTTCCAGTCCGATGTTTCTACAAGCAATACGCGCACACTCCAGCTGGACTCGGCTGCTCGCCTCCCAGGGCAGCTTGGACTTCTCTCACAGTCAGGAAATTCTTGCTCAACCAAGCCACGCCTCTCCGGCATGTGTCTTACAGCACTCCTTCCAATGCAACACAACCACTCACAGGGACAGTTAGCCACGTGATGTGCATCCTTCACAGCTAGAGCCTCCAGAGTCGGTCTCCACAGTGGGCTGCACACTGTCATTCCCAATCTGTTCTCTAGCCTTCTTAACCCCACTCAACTACAGAGCATTTGCTCTCAAGGATCCAGGGGTTCTCTTCATGCCTTGGGATACAACATGCAGACATCACAGCAACAGTGCACAGAGACTCAGTGTGGTGGCATGGTAGAGCAACTGGATATGGGTGGTGCTAAGTACGCAGATGCCCAGACAACAAAGCTATGCGGTAGACAGGCAGGCAGCCATCACACTGCCATAGGCTGGGGGTTCAGGGTGAGTGGGGCAGGCAGCAGCGCGCAAACAAGTCTGAGACCCAGGCCAGAACAGCTTCTGGTATAATCAATCCAGAATAGTCCAGTAGACTGGGTCTGGTCTCTGGCCAGAAGGCCAGCCAATTCTTGAGTAAATGTGTTTAGGCTAACCTCAGACTACAGGACAGGATGGAACTCTGAGCCAAGCAGGGACAAAAGTCCTGTCCTGCTTTAGTTATCTCCCAGACCTCCAAAACAAAGGTGAGGGGTGTGGTGTGGTCCAGACACTGGCATGGTGACAGCTCTGAGGTGGAAGGGGAGCCCTGTCCCCTACCAGCAGAGGGAAAGCACTTTAATCAACAGCATGTAACCCCAGCAGGACTCCAATTTGGAAGTCGGTGTAAATTCTATTTCCCTCTCCAGAGAGGCAGCTGCATGCTCTGAGTTCACAGGCATTTGGGATTTATACTCACTTTGTGCACTTGCGGCATTCATTCACACACAAACACACACCTGGACACAGGACAGGCAGCTGTGGTCGCAAGTGACTAAGAAGCACAAAGAGGAAGCCAGGCCAAACCAGCCTACAGAAACAGTGCACTTCATTTCTGGGGGGCAGAGTGCTCGAAGAGCCAGGCTGCAGACAGGACAGAGAAGACTCCCCTCGGATGGACACCGGGTTCTCTGCCATTTCTTAGCACAGGGCCCATTTTAGAGGTACACTTGAAGCAAAGGTGTATCTCCCTGGAGAAGCCACAGGTGGAGTGGAGACCATCTGGACCCCAGGAGACTGCCTGTGGCAGCTCGGTGCAGAAGCATTACCTTTGATGTCGCGGTGAACAATGCCGTGCTCGTGGAGGACATTGATGGCGACAGTGATCTGCTTGGAGTAGAGCCTGATAACGTGCTCCTGGAGCCCCAGCCTCGACACCTCCTCCAGCGTGCCCTCGTCACAGTACTCCATGAAGATGTACATTTCTTCCTGGGAAGGAGTGAGACAGAAGCCTGCTTATGGTCTTCTTTTCCATGATCAGGGCATGGACGCTGGAGACCCCACCACTGAGGAGTCAGTATTCCTGGTTGGGCACTGACTGCCATCCTGAGTGCCGAGGGGTGACTCAGTCAAGTATGACCCTCCTGCAGAAGGGGTGCCTGCCTCCCGTCTGGAATGTACATTTCTTCCTGGGAAGGAGTGAGACAGAAGCCTGCTTATGGTCTTCTTTTCCATGATCAGGGCATGGACGCTGGAGACCCCACCACTGAGGAGTCAGTATTCCTGGTCGGGCACTGACTGCCATCCTGAGTGCCGAGGGGTGGCTCAGTCAAGTATGACCCTCCTGCAGAAGGGGTGCCTGCCTCCCGTCTGGGATTATACAGATGGTTTGGTAGGAACCTCTCCAAATCACAGGATAACCTGCTCTCATCCTCCAGGACTGTCTGCTGTACAACCTCAGACAGGGGCTGAGGGCTCATGCCTACAAATATACTGTCAAGCACTACAACACATCCTTTTCGATCACAAACCTACTTGTGAAAATCTACCAAAGATCAACACCCAGATCCCTGGCAGCTCTGGTTCATGCCAATGCCAGGACACTCTAAGTTGTGCTCTTTCCCTGTTTCTGACTCAACACAGAGGAAAAGGAATTTAGGTCTCAGTTTTTTCTTACTCTATAAAGGTTTCTTAAAAACAGAAAAGAAAAAGGAGCATCATTTAACGGTGTGTGGCAAGCGGAGGCATGACACCCCAGGAAGTGGCGCTCGGGAAGAAGCCTTTGGAGGCCAGGACAGGGTGCAGTGCTTATGACTCCGGGTGAACTGCTACAGGCTATAACTTACATTCCTAGTTTCAGAGCAGGTGAGCTGATGTAAGCAGAGGTTTCCTGACAACTAGGCAAGGTTACCATGCTCTGAAATGAGAAGACCTGTGATAAGGACCAGGACTGCGCTGTGTGAGCGTACTGACTCCTCGCACAGGACAGTGTGACTCAAGTCTGCTTACTCTGTGAAGCTCCACACCAAAATACCGAACCAGATTGGGGTGCTTGATGCCTTCAAATATTTTTAGTTCATCTGCAGTTTCCTTGATAGTCTTATGGTCATTAGGTTGAAATCGAATCTGGAAAAGGAAAAATCATGATTACTACAGACACTGTCACCAGCTAGCAGGGGCGTCTTATCAAAGAGGGAGAGCTGTGAAGCTGTCTGATGTTGACGTACGGGGCCCAGATCCACGGGACCCGGGCGGGCTGTCTATGGCCTCACGTCCACAGTCTTCCTTTTGAATATCTGCTGATATAAACAGTTAACCCCAGAATAGCATTCGGGAGGCAGGTCTAGCAGTCTGGCTTGGTCAACACAAATGATCTGACCCGACTCTGTCCTTAGGAAATCCACAGTTGGTGCTGACTGCATACATGAGTGAGACACACAACATGCGTGCTTTGTGCGTGGTGTGCTGCTTCACCTGGCATAACGTCCTTCAAATTAGTCCCCGTAGTTAAAATCGGTGACTGCAGTCAATAATAACGTATGCCTTTAAACACCACTTAGAGAGTAAATCTCAAATTACAAAAAGGCAATGAACATGCTTAGCTGGAGTCAATATTTCACATTATCTACATTTTGTACCATAAACCATGAATATATACAGTTACCTGGTCAATTAAAAATATTATTTTACAAAAATTAAAACAAAAGGGAAACGATGTGTGACTAACCTGGAGACAAGATGTGAAGGAAGACGGAAAGGGCAGGCGCAGGTGACTCAGGAGGGCAAAGCCCTGTGACCCACGCCCCTGCTCACTTTGGGTCTAGTCGAGCTCATTCTCCATACCCCCTCCACAGCCACCTTTCAGCTCCCCTGCCCCTGCCCCACTTGCCTTGGGCTGGGAGAATGCTATTTGCTCCTGAAGCTCATTGGCTCCTCCCTGTGAGCCCCTCAGAGGGCGCTAGTGCCTTGTCTGAGCTTTCACCTAGCTTTGCCTCTGTGGCCCTCCACAGGACACTTCCTCGGCTTTGCAGTCAATCACCTGTGGCCCCGCCCCTCATCCTTGCTGGACTCAATAGCCCACGCTCCACAGCTAACTCAGGGTGGCTGCCAGTTGGCCGACTGTCTAAGCTAAAACCCAGGACTTGGGCCCAAGGAGCTCACCATTGAGAGTACTCCAAGACCATGCTCAGAGTGCTTTACTGCAGCCCTACCGCCCTGACTCACCTCCTTCATGGCCATCAGCTCCCCTGTGTCAACGCTGATGCAGGTATAGACCTTCCCATACTGCCCTTCTCCTAAAAATGATACAAGTAGGTCATTCCTCCAGTCACCTCAGATGGTCACTGAAGCTCTGTAGGCATGTTTATAGACATTTCATCATGTTTACCCTAGCTTATTACTTAAGACCCAGAAGAGCTCTTAGTGCTCCCCGATATACGAAATCCCAGGTAATGTCATCAGTACGTCTCATCCATAAATATCCTGAACAGAGAAGAAATGGTTTTAGACCCCAGAAGAGCTAGGAGGAGAAGTGGTAGGCAGTTCTGGAACACGCTGAACCCTTGTTCCCAGCAAGGGTCTGGGCTGGGACTGGGGCTGGAGGGAGTGGCCAGGGGTGTGCCTGGAGCCTGTCTGGCTGCACTGCTGCAGGGCCTGGAGTGTGGGGGGACCAGTCTCCTAATACTGCTTCTGTGACCCTGAAGCAAGGGGACACACGACCAAGCAAAAATGAGAGCTACAGTCAATACAATTTATAAGGCGCTAGACTGCTGCACCCTAGATAACCCTCAGAACCTAGAGTCCTGGAGCCCCAAAAGTCTAACAAGCTGTTTGCCTCTCAGATCTAAAGCTTGACAGATAAATGCACTTAAATGGGGGACGAGTCTGAGATACCACACATCCTACCGCTAGCTATTTGGTAAGAAGAGGTTCCACCTCAAAATTAATTAACTAGGCAACATTAAAAAAAAGTACCCTGCCCCAATTTGTATCTAGTTTCTGTCCACATAATAGTCTCATGCTCAGATGCCGAGGAGCTCAGAAGGTGGGCGACTGTGACCAGTGATAGTCATGTATATAGAGATTAGAAATGCATGTGAAAACGTCTCAATGTCAATTGCTTTGGAATGAATTCTTCTGTATGAAAAAAAAAAATAAAAAAATAATGATTAAAAAACAATAATTAGTAGATGTGAAAAACATTACCATTGAAATCTACCTGATGACTTTATATTCATGCTCAGATGCCTAGAAGCTCAGAAAGTAACCAACTGTGACTAGTAATAATCAGATATTTAGAGATTAGAAATGCATGTGCAAACATCCAATGTCAATTGCATTGAAAAAGAATTTTTCTATATGAAACTGTGTATTTTAATAATGAAATGGAGATCTTTTTAAAGGTTAAAACATCATTTAATTTATGTCTTATAGGGTTTATACTGAGTACAATATTGTATAACTGTAATAATTCAACTGTAAACCTAAAAATTTACAGCCAAATTTGAAAGAGATGCATCCTACCTCAGGAAAATGTTATTGAATATGTCAATTGTGTTGTAATGATATGCTTCTTCTAAGTATGTTGTTATTAAATAAATCATTTTTAAAAATTAAAAAAAAAATGAAATAAAGAAAAAAATGGGTGCCTTTTTGGTATAAAAAAAAAAAAAAAGTACCCTGCCCCAATTTGTATCTAGTTTCTGTCCACATAATAGTCTTGTGAGAATAAAAGAGCACGGAAGAGAAAAAACGAGCAAAATTCCAGGTCTCCACTGGAAACTTCTGGAATTATCAGGAAAAACTAGTCAATTTAATGATCTAAAAATCTTTTCTCAATTTTCAGTTTGTATTATTCTTCGGAAACATTTTAGAACTGAAACAACACCAAGATTCACCTGCGAACAGCATTTGCTGCATTTGCTGGCCAACAGAGAAGGGACGAACTATTCACAAGGAACCTAGAGAATAGACACTGCACTCCTACCAGGAACCGGTTCCTTGGATTCCTTACCGATTTTGTTTCCTCTTTGCCACTTGAAGGTCACCTTCCTCAATCCAACGTGCATGACATTGTCGTAGGACTTAGGGGTATCGCAAACTTGACCAATGATATTCCTTCTCCGCATTTCTCGGTACCTCTTCTCTTCAAACAGTCGGACTGACTTCTGGATGGCCTCTATGGGCCCCTGCTTGGAAGCAGTGTCTGAGAGGGAAGCAAACACGTCAGTCCCACAACTGTCTTCAGTCAGCTTCCACAAGGTCACCAGGACAACAGCAGTAATGGTCCATCACCTATTCCATTAGCAGGTCAATTCCCCCTCAGGCCTCCGACAGGTGTGCTGGCTGCTCCCACTCTGCGCACTCTAGTCCAGACTCCTGTTTCCCAGCTTTGGCACATATGGCTTTGACCACATTACACTCCTAGGCAAGTGCATTTCAGTTCTCCATCCCCTACCAATCAAAGCCCCAGACCCAGACTCCAGGGTCTAGAGACACCAGACCTAGTTTTTCTCCTCTGGTATCTTTTAAAAGCCATTTCTCTTTTCTTCTCTCACCACATGCTCCTGGCCAGTCAGGCTTAGGGGACACAACAGATGTGTCTGACACCTGGAACTGCTCTCCTTTCCCTTCTGCCTAAAATAGGTTTCTCACCTCAGTGCCAGTGGAGAAAGATCACACACCTCAACTGAAGTGTGCAGTTCTCCTAGGAAGCCATTTCTGATCACCTAGGAATGGGGTTCCTGCCTGTGGAATCAGACTGCATGGGCCAACCCTGGCCTTGTGGTTTTCTGGGGGCTTGACAGTGGGCCAACTAACTGGCTTTTGTGTTACATACCCACTGGGTGAAATGAAGGTAGTAACAGTGAATCAGAGCGACCTGAGGATTCAATGACATGCCTAGCACACAGATAATACCAGTCCACACCAGGTACTGTTCTCATCACCCACCTTCCCATCCGGGCCTGCATCATACGCCAGCCTACTTCATCATAGCTTACGGGAGACATACCTTGTGTGCATACAGATGACGCCCCTGCTGGTTCCAACTCCCTCTACCCTTCACTAGGATACGTTCATTGTACCAGTGTCCTTGGTGTGTGTGTCAGGAGCTTTAGTCTCCCTCCTCCCTCTCCTGCCTCCCTCCTCCCTCTCCTGCCTCCCTCCTTCCTTGGTCCTCTCCCTTGTCCCAATGTCTCTCCTCTGCTTTCAATCCTTACTCTTTTTTTTTTTTCCCCCCAAGGTCTGGATTCTACATATAATATTTCTTTTTCTGAGTTTGGCTTCATTTTGCTTGGCATGATGATCTCCAATTCCATCTATTTTCCTGCATGTGACGTAATTTCATTATTCTTCATTGCTGACTAGTACTCCATTACCACTTTATCTGTTGAAGCATACCCAGGCTGATCCCACACCTTAGCTATTGTGAAAAGTGCTGCTAAAGGCCAATCAGACTCTGCTCTACCAGCCAGGAATGGTTTACTACATGGAGCCTGAAACCACTGACTAGCTATCCAAAAGACTCAGTGCTCTAGCAGGCAAGGGGTTTTTTTTTTTTTTTAATATTTTATTTATTATTTTATTTTATGTGTACGAGTATATTCCCTGCATATATATGAGTGCACCTGTGTCGTGCAATGCTATGGAGGTCAGAAGAGGACCTCGGATTCCCCTGGAACTGGACTTAAGGACGGTTCATAGCTGCCATGTAGGTGCTGGGAATTGAACCCAGGTCCTCTGCAGGAACAGTCAGTGTGCTAACTGCTGAGCCATCTTTCCAGCCCTGCAGGCAAGGGGTCTTTAAAGATCTGGATGACTATAAGTTATTTGAAAAAATGCCATTCCCAAAGATTTATGCTTTACTTAAAAACAAAAAAACAAAAAACAAAAAAAACCACCACAATAATTTCAGAGCTGGAGAGTTGGCTCAGTGGTTAAGAGCACTGGCTGCTCTTGCAGAAGACCGTGGTTCGAATCCCAACACCCACTTGGCAGCTAACAACCATCCGTAACTCCAGTTCCAGGGGCTATAAGACCCTCTTTTGTCCCCATCCGTAACTCCAGTTCCAGGGGCTATAAGACCCTCTTTTGTCCTCTGTAGGCAGTGTACAACATGGGTACATTTATACAAATGCAGGTATAACACTCACATATAAAATAAAATAATTTTTAAAAGCTACAATCATTTCTTTGAACCTGATATCCTAATTTGTTTCTTTTACCTGTATATACACCAAATACTGGACAAGTTTTTTTTTACAACTAAGAGGTTGCGGATCCCATTGTTAAAATTTTTGCAAAAAGCTCTTTATTTTATTTAGCTTTAAATTTTTTTATTTATTATTTTTATTTTATGTGTATGCGTGTATTGCCTGCATGTAGGTAAGTGCACCTGTGTCGTGCAATGCCTGTGGAGGTCAAAAGAGGCTGTTGGATCCCCTGGGACTGGAGTTACTGACAGTTGTTAGCTGCCATGTGGGTGTTGAATTCGAACTTGGGTCTTCTGCAAGACCAACCAGTGTTCTTAACCACTGAGCCATCTCTCCAGCCCTTATTTTATTTAGTTTTAACGATTTATTTTATTTTGAATTATGTATATGTGTATCTCGGAGTGCCAGTACTCACAGAGGCCAGAGGTATCAGACAGAATTTCAGGCAGCTATGAGTCACCCAACCTGAGTGCTGGGAACCAAACCCAGATCCTCTGCAGTAGCACTATGTACTCTTAACCAGAACCACCTCTCCATCCCTCTTTTTGGTTTTGGTCTTTTTGAGACAGGGTCTCCCTGTCGTCCCAGCCGGCCTGGAACTCACTAGATAGACCAGCCTGGCCTCAATCCCACAGAGATCGAGTGCTAGGATTAAAAAACAAACAAGCCTTTCTCAAGAATTCCTGGTCTTTAACATGTCAACATGAATTGTGACTTTTCCAAGAGGAAATAGCATCTCTGTGGTTCCCAGTTTTACCTGCCCATCAAGTATTTGTTCTCAAAAGCGTGAAGAGCAGGGGAAAATCCACAGGGGAACTTCTGTCACTGGTGATGCTGAGATTGCTGGTGTATGTCATCTTATCCACCCTGTGTCCCTCCCACTCCATTCCCAGGCTCAAGCCCAGAAGTCTCCTCAACACGTACGAATCTGTCGCAGGGCCCATCGACTGTTTCTTGCTACTATCACCCTGCCTTAGTCTAGCACTAACTCTCCACATTGACTCACTGTGCTGGAATTCTGTCTATCCAAGGTCCCATTTCCTCCGTAATGCAGGCTAGTGGACAGTCTTTCCACAGTGACTTACTTGTCCCCATCTCCCACCTGCCAAAGTTCTTTCCCTCAATTTCTTTCTTAAAATAAATTATTACATGTACATGGGTGTTTTGTTTTTGTATGCATGTATATATAAGTGCACCATGTACGTGCAATGTCCACAGAGGCCAGAAGAGGGCATCAGAACTGGAACTGGAGTTATGGATGGTTGTTAGACATCAAGTAGGTGCTGGCAACTGAACCCAGGTTCTCTGCAAGAGCAGCCAGTGCTCTTGATTGAACCATCTCTCCAGCCCCCTCTCTCAATTTCTTGGCATAAAAATGAATGCTTATTTATTTCACAAATACAATATTAAGGAATCATGCTAAGCTGCTTAAGAATGTAAGATGAGTCAACCCAAAGGCTCTTGTAATTTATTGCAAGAAACAGAAAATGCCCACAGAGTACATGACAGGCACTGTGATGTCAGACGTAGAAGACCTAATGATTCAGAAGTTAAAGAGATCTTCAACTCAAACACTCCCAAATGCACTGCCCGTACCGCAATCTCTCTACCTTTGGTCTGGCTAATAAGCGTCCGAAGTTCCCAACTTCTCCGTATTGATCCACTTGAATCACTTCTTGGATACGCTGGCTCTGCAAGAAGATGTTTTATACAAATTAAGATTCATGAACTAAGTATGTGACTGCACCATTGGCTCTCGGTGCTGATCAGCTCATAGTGAGTCAGCACCAAATGAAGATGTTCTCACAGAACTTTTTTTTGATTGATCTTTTTCTTTTTAATGTGTGTGTTAATGCCTGAATGTTCGCGTGCACCCCCTACCCACCCCGTGCTGTGTGATGCTGTGAAGAACAGAAGAGGCAACAGATCCCCTGGAACTGAAGTTACAGACAGTAGTCATCATGTGGGTGCTGGGAATTGAACCCGGGTCCTCTGCGAGAGCAGCCAGAGCTCTTAACCACTGAGCCATCTCTCCAGCTCTCTTATAGAACTTCACAACTTTGCAAAGGTAACAGGCCACAGAGCACTGTCTGTGTTCTGGGGAGCCCTATTTGAGAGGCAGCTTTTGGGGACCACCCTATTGCAACAAACAGTAGCACTTTTAAACTTTTAAAGTAAGAGCATGATGCTTTTATAAAAAGCATAAACCCAACCTAGAATATGTAAAGCTACATTAAAAGGCTAAGGCGTGCAAGCTAGGCCCCTCCTTAAGCTCGGTGGCTCATCTCCCTTCCTGTGTGTTTAACAGAACTGGCAGACTGCCACCACACTCACCGTCACGCTCCTCTGTGGGGCTTGAGTGCCGACTCAGGGACCTGAACTGCAGCTCAGCAGCTATGGAAGCCAAGCGATCATTTTCAGGGACACTGGAACCCCTGTTTTAACATTTAAAAACAACAACAACAACAACAACAATTAAGCTATCAATTCAATGGAACTTAAGATGACAGATCTGTGAGAATCTTCTAGAGTCCTGATTCTCAATTAGGACAACACTGCCTCAGAGGATATTGGCAGTCTATAGATACTTGTGACTGTCCTGCCTGGGAAGGTGCAACCGACATCTAGTGGGCAGAGGACAACACATGGGCCAGACCCACAAAACCTGTCACTCAGATGAGCAGGGCTGCTACTGAGACACAGACCTCCTGGAGACCGTTAGGAGGGGCCTTAGCCCCACAGCTTCTGCCTACAGAACAGCTTGTTCTGTACGACAAACTCGAGGAACAAGAACAAACCACGTGTTCTTAAACACACCTGGGGGCACGGAAAGCGCCAACTCAATCCCAGGATGAATAAAGGTTGTCAGTCAGACTTAGGTGTTATTTAAGGTTAGCAACAGGTTACAGTTAAGTGCTTAATTAGAATAAAAATATTAAAACCATCATCACATGATTCAAAAGATTTCAAATCTCTATGCAGTCAGAAAACAGAAGGGAATGCCCAAGGATTTCTCAAGCAGTAGCCAAGCAAGTACAGCGCAAGAAGCTTCGTGTTTCAAAGAGCAAAGTTACAGAACAAAGTTACACGTTCAGCAACGAGAATGAACCCAGCAGGAGAAAAAGCTGGATCAAATAAGGGAAGCGTTAAAACTGCAGTTCAAGAAACCGAAGAATGCCATCTAAATGGAATCAGTTTATTAGCAACTGGGCATGTATACGGATGTGAATGGTAGAAAACTGAATGAGGTTCAAAAGCACATCCTCCACGAAGTGGTGCATCTGTGAATGTGAAACCGCTAGTTGTGAATGGGATGTGGGGGAATAGAGGGAACTGTAAAGTTTGCCAATTTCTGTAGAAAAACAAGCTTGAAAAAAAATCCTGAAATTAAGAGTCAGCTCTTGGGCATTAGTGGATGTCGGTTTCAGCAAGCCCAGCACTGCCAAAGTGATTTGCAGTGATAGAACTGAAGGCCAGAATAACTAGTTCCTAGGTCAAACAAAATCTAAAGCAAATGTCCCTGGGAGCTCAGGAGACATAATATGGCCTGACACCAGATCCATGGGTATCCCCATGACCCCATTCCACAGGGCCATGCTGCATGCTGTTAGTCTACACAGCAAACCTCAGCAGGAGTGACCCAACCTACCATCCTTGTGGCCGCTCCCCAGTACCACCAGGAAAGCAAGCGGATGCAGGTGGCCTTGTGTGACCACCCTCGTACATCTTTGTGTGTTTTGTTTTTTTTAAAACTGTGGTCATAAACACATTGTCTCAAAAGCACACTTTGTTATTTGATATTTAAAAAAAAAAAACATACAAAAAACAAGACTTCAAGACCATGATGCTATTACAACCCTAGATGCCACGTACATCCAAATTTAGGACTAATATTTACACAATGCTCTCTGCAATGTGTTCAAAAACTGCTTATGGACAGCGTTAAGATGCATGAATGCAAAAGACGAGCTGTGGGCATGTGAAGGCGGCCCACTAACTGAAGGGCTCGACGCCAGTCCCTCAACCTTACAGAGGCAGGCCATCTCCTCCCATCCAGTTCCGAGTGAACTCGTGGGAATGCAGGTGCTGCCCTGGGAGCCGAGCTCCACTCTGGGTATGTTCCAGCCGCTTCCCTTCTCTGCACTTACAGAAACGACAGTCCAGGTAGGACTTAGTGCCCCACAGGGACAGGGAAACAAATGTGAAAATATTTGCCACGAATGCTCTGAAAGTAAAAACAAGCAGGAAATGGGAGTCTAACATTTTGTTAATATTGTTTTTCAGTTAATGGCTAAAGCTACAAAACACTTTTAATTTTTTACGGTAATAGCCATTTATCAGTAAAAATTAGGAATATTAATTATTTTAATGAGTAACAATACTGGATGTTTGTAGGAAGTCTGGAATGCTGTTAAAATGAGTCTAACAACATTTTAGTCTTCTAAGTGTGAAGTCACCTTCCTGTTCTCACACTACACCCTATGAGCTGAACACAGCACTGAGCTCCAGCACAATTCCATTTTTCACTAAATCACCCAAATGTCGTTAATTTTGGACACCACCTTCCGTCCTGGAAGATGAGGATGTTGGCAGAGCCCCTTGTACCCCACCTACAGTGGACTAAGAAAGAAGCCAGTCCTTTCTCCACACTGGCTCTGAATTGCCTGTGCTACTGCCTGGGAAAGGCCAGGGTGGCTCCCGCCTCCCTCTCGCCCAGGCCCTTCCTCTGATACTCAGAGTGAAGTCGGTGGAGCCAGAGGCCACTTCTGCTAAAGCTGGTCCGGAGGAGGATGTCAACACTGGTAATGGTCCAGTCTTCCTGCAGGGTCTGGGGGCTGACAAGCCACAGGGCCCCAAGCACCAAACACGAGAGGAAAGAACCCCGGTCACCCCATGACACACCCCACGGGGACGTGTGAGGGGCGCGGGGTTGGGGACATGCTGCTCGTGGACTACCTGGCGTCAGGGGCAGTGCTGATGGGTTTGGGCGGCGCAGCGTCCCCACCACAGGGGCCAGGGCGACCGGCGGCGGCGGCGGTGGGGCCGCAGAGGTTCCGAGCGTCTGGAGGCCCGGCCCGAGCGCTAGGGCGAGAGGAAAGGCTTCAGGAACACAGTAAGAAAGGGGTGGACCACGTAAAACACGGGAGAAGGGAAATCCTTAAAAATAGAACATACAAACTGCTGGTTTAGATTCTAGTGTGTGAAAACCCCTAGTATCAAAGGTTTTTTTAGTAATGATGGTCTTTACCTAGAAAGTCCTGTTAGCTTGCAAAAGGGACTCTACTGGGTAAAGAGGGGCCATGCGCTACCTCAAGATGTAGAAAGGCCAATTCAAGGACAACACTGTGAGCGTGGGCACTCACTCTGGTGTCAACTGAATTCGTAAGGACACACACGATGAAAGCCAACACTGGAGGCCTCTCCAGATCTCTGCTCTTCTTTTTTTTCCTGTAAATTTTCTATTGACTTTTAAATTTCCTACAGAACTTTTTTTCTTTTTTCTGGTCTTTTTGAGACAGGGTCTCCCTGTAGCCCCAGCTGCCCTGGAACTATGTAGACCAGGCTGGCCTTGAACTCACAAAGATCCGCCTGCCTCTGCCTCCCGACTGCTGGGATTAAAAGCGTGTGCCACCACACCTGGCTCACACAAAACATTTTTAATCAGCTTTATACCCACTTCCCCATTAGCCCCCTACCATAGTACCCCGACCAGAAGTCATACATTCTGTCATTTGTGTTAAAGCCTATCATGTCAAGTTAGTGTCCCCTAGACGTCCCTCAGTGCAAGTTCATCCCCCGAGTTCTAGTCAGCCTATCTAGAGTCTCACCCTTTAAGAAGATCAACTCTTCCTCACCCAGCAGTAATCAGCTGCCAATAATTCTTCAACTAAGATTGGGGCCTGTTGCCCATTTCTGCAGTTCTATGCTGGGTTTTTGTCTGCTTGACTTTGCATGAGTCCTGTGCATGCTGACACCATTGCTGTAGGTTCATATAAGGAAGGTCCCAGGAGCCTGTAGGACTCTATTTCCATATGGTTATGTACCTCCTCCCTGGCTCTCACAGTCTTTCCCCACCCTCTTCCTAAATGGTCCCTGAGTCCTGGCCGGGTGAAGTTTAACAGAGGAGTCCTGTCCAAGGACCACACTCTGACATTCTGCAGTCTCTTACTCTACACTTGGCCATCGTGACCTTTGTGTTCCTGGCCATCTGTTGCATGAGGCAGCTTCATTGATGGGAATTGAGAGATGCATTAGTGTTCTCTAAAATGACAAAAGTTTACTACGCTTTGTAACCTGTAAATTTATTTTTCAAGAAAGAAAAAGAAAGCATCACTCCAAAGCCAGAAAGCACGTAGTAGCTTGAGGGTTATAAAGAAGCCGAGAAGCTCAGTTATCTGGAAAGGTGCAGGTTTGCTTTAAATGTTCACGTCTCTTTCTTTTGTGCTTCAGCACTATGGTGTGTCTTCAAGATAACACAAACAAGAGCTTTACAAAGCACCTGGACATGAGAAGGAAGAACACTGATCTCCACAGCAAGCACCCCAGGACCCCAGAGCATGCACATCAGAGGAGAGCTGGTGACTGCGGGAGCACCAGGTACCTGAATCCCTCTGGCGTTGGGATGATGAGGTGAGGGTTAGGAGGATCACTGTGGCACCGAGGCACCTTCACAGGACGGGGGCTGTTCCGATGGATGGCTGTTGGAAATGGCAACAAAGGCAACCTGTCAAAACGGGTAACAGGAAATGTCCAACCCAGACTATTTGTTGCAAATGGAAGGACAATCAGTTACACCAGTAACCAAAAATAATCGACTCAACAGGGGTGAAAAGCAATTACATACGTAAATATGAAAAATTTCACCTTTCAAAGTTGTATCACACATTCAAACTTTCTTCCACCAAATACAACCTTCTGTAAGTCTGGGGGTGAGCTGTGTACAGCACACCCTACAGAATGACCAGCTCCAAGTTAGACCAGGCGGACGACTGTGGGCGATTCGGCAGCTCTCTAACAAGAGTGAATTCTTATGTCTGTCATCTACACTTTAAAAAGATTCTGTCAAGTAGACAATCCAATAGGCTCTGTGCAGGCAGGACTGGTTTTCCTCAACACATATGACTTTGTTTCACTACTCTAAGTCAAACCAGGCAGATGGGACACGATTTAACCAGTTCCTTCCCCCTTAGCACATGTTCCCTTGTCTCTTCTTCTCTTAAATAGTCTAAGATAAACATAGATAAAATTTAAGATGAAACTAAAAAGTATGTGAAATTTAAAATTAGGTAACTTGTGAAAAATTTTTTGTGATACTGGGGATTGAAGGCCAAGGCGTGCTAAGAAGTGCTCTGCCTCCAAGCAGTGTTCCCAGCCCTTACATGAAATTCAAAAGTGAAACATTAAAACTAGTGATCTTACCTAGTGACCATAAAGCAGGGACAGTCCCACGTCCCCAGTAACTCACTAGCGAGGACACGTTAACACTAACATTGCCTACGTCAGCATGCCTTCCTCTTATCTTTTCAAGTAACGTCAGATTTTACCTTCCTGGGTTCTCTGTGTCATATTTTCTCTTTATGTATTAGTAATTTTATTCCACATACATTTTACCCTAAATGGAAATCCTTGCGTCAATGTATTTCTTGTTTCCTCTATAAAGACAGAGAGAGAGAGAGAGAGAGAGAGAGAGAGAGAGAGAGAGAGAGAGAGAGAGCCCAAAAATGGAGAGATCGGAAGCTCCCTTGTAAAGAAACACTAAGCACTGGTCACAAGGAGGGAAGCCTTCCGTGAGCTTCATGATCTCGACCATCACACCACCAAAGAAGAGACTTGGCAGTAACTCGGGAGAAAGCCAATGAGAGCAATGCTGCGAGTTCAGACACGGGAACTTCTCACACAAAAATCTCTACAAAAAGTTCCCCCAAAGGTGTGAAATGAAAATCTACACACAAACAAGTTTAATATTCCTCATGCACAAAACAAAGCATGTGGGAACGCCTGTGTACTTAATGCTACAACATGGTGACGTTTCATTGGAAAGGAAGTCCAAACGGCCGATTAGAAACGTACGTAGACCCTGGCCTTTCTCTGGTGGTGAACAGTCTATCTAGAGATGTTTTTTTATGGCCCAAACACGCACAAGTCCATGAAGAATAGCAGAAGGTTACAGAACATCCACAAAAGCCAGAACAGCCATCAGAGACGGTGAGTTAGATCTGCACCTCTGAGGTGGAGGCTTTCTACAGCGGTCAGACAAAAAGTAGGAGACTCTTATCCACTCAGAGTCTACAAAGTAAATGAGAGAACAAACAACCCTTCCGTGTGTGGAGAGGCCGGGCAGAGCGGCGAGGAAGGCCACAGGACAGGCTGCTACCACCAGTTAAAGCAGAGGTGTGGGTCAATCACAACAGAAGAGAGCGCTCATCTGTGAGAATTTCTATGGTAAAAGAACACAACCCAAAGGGTGACCCCTACTGTGTACGGACACCAGCACTTATCAAACGTTGCTGCCTCACCCAGCTGTCCTGAACAACGCATTTCAGGCACTACAGTGGGAGGCTGGAAGGTGTTTGATGAGAGGCCGGGGCACCTGCTGCCGAGCAGTGCGCTTCTGAGTTGAGTTCTACCATCCCATACTGGTTGTGGGAACAATGACAACTGCCTCAGCAGCAGTCTGGAGAGACAGGCATGTTGCAAGCCACGTTCCTGTGGTTACCTCTGGGTCAAGGGAGTAGGGACAACGCCCATCTTCTGCAAGTTTTCACAATGAAATTTTTCCTAAATATCCATCATCTACGTTTCTACTTTTTCAACATCATCATTTTTCTAATAAGAAACTTCTGCCTGGGTCAGCAAGATGGCTGAGTGGGTAAAGGCACTTGCCACCAAGCTGACAACCTAAGATCGATTCCTGGGGCTCACATGCTAGGAGAGCATCAATGTCCAAAGGCTGCCCTCTGACCACCACATGCATGCTCTGATACGTTTCTCTCTCTCTCTCTTTTTCTCTCTCTCTTCTCTCTCTGTCAAAATAAGTAAAAATGTAGTAACAAGAAACTTATGCCTTAGGTAATGAAATACTTTCTGATAAAGCATTTTAAAGAAGTGGTTTTAACTGAGTTATTAATCATGTATTCTTAGAAAAATGTTTCTTAATGTAACACTGTTATTGATTCTTTGAGGATTCCATACCTGGATACAGTGTATTTTAACATACTCATCCTTCACCCCCAACACCCCAAATCCTTGTCTAATGTTCTTCTTCCTTCATCTCTAGAAGTTCTGTTAGTTGGTGAAAGTGCATAGGGGTTGTAGAAGAGTAACAGAAAAGTGATGGAAAACCTCTTGGTGTCAGGGAGAGGTAAAATCAGGGCCTGGGTGTCCAGGACCACGTGCGGTGTCAAGGCCATGGCTGGTCTTCAAGGGAGATGAAGTCCATTTTTGAGAATCAGTCCTCCCCAAATGGAAACTGCAGTTGACAGAAACCTCCCCTGTTCCCACCGTAAGTCTAACACAGAGGCAAAGCTACTGCCGTACACAACCTGGGACCTCAGGGGAGGGGGCTGGGGAATACAGCCACTCAGAGAAGCTGAAAGTGCTGCCTCCATCCTCCAATCTGCTCGACCACCAGAGAAATGTGGAACAGTGGCTCCCGGTAGGGGACCAAAGCTCCAGCTCCTGGGAGGGGACCAGAGCTCCAATTCACAGGCAGGAACCACAGCTCCAGCTCCTGGGAGGGAACCACAGTTCTAACTCACAGGAGTAGATTAGAACTCTGGCTCACAGGAGGGGACCACAAATGTTTTAATATATCAGAAAATCAAATTCTGTTTATGTTACTAGGCCTACTAAGAGTTTGATATTTTTAAAAAAGCTATGCTTTATATAAATTCTCAAATAGTTTTACAAATAGTAACGTTCACAATGATAGCCCTGGAGAAAGGGTTATACAAACTAAATGAATTTTAAGTCCCGAGACCTGCTCTTACACTACATTTCCCTGTGGTTGGCAAGTACCACTTAACAGGCAGAGCTCGTGTTCAGCAAAAATTTACTGTTACTGAACTATTTTTGTGCAACTTAGATTCCATAAAATTTCTAAGCTTTTATTTTGGAGTGCTTATGACATAGGAATTTATTTTATTCACAGACGGTATCAAGAATGACACAAAGCTTTTTCTGTATAAGTATTTTCTCTTTAAGGACTATATTGTAAAACTGTATACTATGCTTGAAAATAAAAGTAATGTATATCTTGGTGTAATATAAATTGAATTGTTAAAAGTAAAACCAAATCAGAACTTACAACGGGGAATGGGAAATGGGGGAAGTGAAGAAAACGGGCATCCCCTTCCATGGTGTGAGGGAGAAGGATCAGAGCAGTCGCTCAGCAGCAGCTACAGGGAAAGCTCCTCCCCAAACACAAGACCTTAATGGGAAAGCAGGCTGCATTACCACGGGAAAAATAAAGCCAGTCCGAATGTGTGGCCGGCAGGGAACACCTTGTGCTGGCATTTTAATACTCCTGTCAGGACACAAAGATGACCATGGAGTTCCCTGAATACATACCACATTTGTCACTTTCCTCAGTATTGAAAAACATCTCATGCCATCGTGAATGACATCAATCCCAAGACAGGTTACTTATTCAAACCAGCGCATCCCAGGGGAAATGCTGCCTGAGAGGTCTTACCAAGACACAAACCTGTGACAGGACTGTGTGGCTTCCCTATGACATGGCCAATGCATTCATTCATCAAGGCTTGTAAACTCTGTAAAAACAGGACAAAAAAGAAAGTATATCCTTAATTCCACACACCGCACATCAGGTTCAGGATGTCTGAAAGAGACATGCAATCTTAGTAAATGTTGTCAAAGTCAGCTTCCAAAGACAAAAAGATATATAGTTTGAATAAAAATTAAATATAATTTAAAATATATTAATTTTATCTTCATAAATAAAAGCAACTTAGCAGACATTTCACATAAAACAACAGCATATATGAGCAAAGATGCAACTGTTTCCACTGGCAGAGGGTAACAGAGCGACTCCCATCTGGGCAACATCAAGATCTGACGGAACGGATCAGGGCAGCGGGTACGTAGCACTGGCACTACACTCTGAGGACGACCAAGGGAAACAGCGATCTTTGTTCATTACCTTCCAAGGCAGCCACTGAGCTGGCAGAGCAGGGATATAGAAGCTGACGTCAACGTCAGGACTGCGGGGCTTAGAAACCACCAGACATTAGCTGAGCACCACTGTCACCACGAAGAGCACAAAAACTCCGTGTTTGCTTTAACGCCTCAGCACTACCACTACAGGAAGTGTGTTTAGGAACCTCTATTACACAGAAAACATACAGTTGAACAGAAAGTGACCAACTTGGTGCTTATCAATAGAAAAATCTGTAGAATGTTTCATACCAAGAAGTCATCTTCTGGTAAAGCAGAAATGAAGCCAGGTTCGATGGCTTGTAGAAAATCAAATCCTTGAGTTGCCCACCTGTCACATGAAAATATTCAACAGTCATACCATAGCTGGGGAAATGCTGTATACTGCACACTGTTAACATTAATGCAAAGTCATATAAAGTTTACTATGCAAAACAAAACACTTGGCTTTTGTTTTCTGGGTTTTTTTTTTTTCCGTCTCCCCACTGCATAAACACCTGGGCGGAGGGAGCTTATAGTGGGGCTTTGGGGAAAGCAATTTTTTTTAAAAAAAGTTTTTATTTATTATTTTTATTTTATGTGTATGGGTGTATTGCCTGGGTGTAGGTAAGTGCACCCATGTCTTGCAATGCCCATGGAGGCGGTCGGATCCCCTGGAACTGGAGTTACAGACAGTTGTTAGCTGCCATGTGGGTGCTGGGATTCAAACCTGGGTCTTCTGCAAGAACAACCAGTGTTCTTAACCGCTGACTCATCTCTCCAGCCCTGGAAAACAATTTTTAAAATGGCTTTAAAATTTTTATTTTAGGCGCTGGAGAGATGGCTCAGTGGTTAAAAGCATCGACCTCTCTTACAAGACGCAGATTCAGCTTCCAGGCAGCACATGGCAGTGAACAGCCATCTGCATCTACAGTGTCAGGGGATTTGACACCCTCTTCTGACCTCCTCAAGCACTGCACAACTCAGGTGCACTTATATAACACATACAGGCAATATACTCATAAACATAAAATAAAAAATAATCAAGAAAATAGTTTTAAAAATTATCTTAATGAAATGGGAGGCAGGAAAGACTTTCAAAGGCATGCCACTTGTAGTGGGAATTATTCATGAGCTATATAGGATTAAGTTCTTGCTTTGCATTTCAAACTTGGAAAGAGGCTTTGAGTGTCCCATAACACCTGTTCATCAGGAGTTATAGAATGCTCACCAGTTTTCAGGCACAATACTTTAATAAGGTCTACTCCAGTAGAGAGACTATACTGCTCACAGACAACTCACATATTTCCCCTGCAGATCCCAAATTCCTTCTTAGTAGATACACAGTTTACCCATTTTGTCTTCTACTCACACTAAGCAGCAGGCTGACATTTCATGAGGGAAAAGATACTATCTGACTTGTCCATTGTGAATGCGAACTTCCTTAAGATTACTCAATTTATGTCTTTTCTTCTTGAACCAGGCATGGTTGTGCACACCTTTAATCCCAGCACTCGGGAGGCAGAGACAGGTGGATCTTTGTGAGTTGTAGGCCAGCTGAGGCTACAGGGAGACCCTGTCTCAAAACACAAAACAAAATGAAACAAAAGCTGACTGCAGTGGAGTTCAGAGCTCTCTTTTTTGTGCAATTGGTTTATAAACTTGATAACACACAAGAACACAACACCACTGGCCAAGCGCCAGTCACACAGGAACCAGCATGTCTCCTGCTATACCTGGGCCTTGTCCCTCGGCCGCTCTCACACTTGGTCAGGACATAATTCATCCACTTTCGGGCGAAGCTGATGTACTTGTCTCCTATCCTCTGTCTGAACTCTCCAGACATCAAACGGACAACTTCTTTGTGATACTGTAAGAAGAGTTCACATGTCTCAGAATTAACAGTCCATCAATGCCTGTACGCCACGGTGCCATGTTTGAGTAAAACAGCCTTTCTAAACACTCAAAACAAAATCTAATTACTGTATATACTTTGAATAATACATAGAGTATATTGTGTCTCAAAATACAGTCTTGTAAATGCTTTACTCGTAAGCTTACTTAAGAATATACGTTTACAGTAGCAAGCATCTCTTAAAGTTTTAAATAAAGATAGCTGTTAACAGAAAGTAAAATCTGGGGAAGCATCTGAGAGTTGAAAAGAAAGCTGACATTTCTGAGGCTCCGTGGCAACAGACGAGGACACTCCTACCAGACCCACCACAGAAGATGAATGATGCTTCCTGCAAATGAAGCAATTCCTCAATTGCCTTCTCCCTCTCATTCCATACCTACCTCAAACCCAAAGTTGTACCCCTGGACCATCGCCTCTCGGTAGTACTGCTGCAGGGTGAGAGATTCGGACTCGTCAATGTCAGCATCAAACTCAGACGTAAACATGTGGTCCACCCGGTCGATAGCATCACTGATTCTGTTGCAAAGCTCCAGAGCATCGTTCTGAGGAGTTCCAAACCATGATCATCCAAAATGAAACAAGCCGCATCACGCTTCCCACAGGAAAGAAGACTCCACTCCTCCCTGACAGTTTGGGCCTTAGTATTTTATCAAAAGTATTTTCACCTTTGTTATTACTAGGTATTCTTTAACATCTCACAAAATAAAAAGGAAAACAATCCACTTAAAGTGACCAGACCAACTGTCACCTGGTGTTTAGAAAGGTGTTCACGTCGTTAGTGTTGCCGTGTACCAACCCCCAGAGATGGGGCTGGAGTATCTGGAGATATTACAGATTATCAAGACTGGAGGAGGAAGTGTGATCTGCTGACACCTGGTGGACAGAGGCTAGGGATCCTGCCAAACATCCCACAATGCACAGAGACTGCCCACCCCTTAACCATTCTCCTCCCCACCATTCAACAAAGAATCACTGGTACTAATGGTACTAGTGTCCACAGTGCAAAGGCTGAGAGATCAGGTCTTAATTAAGCTCTAATTGCTTCTTTAAGTAGTACCACGATGACTCCAAGCTGGCCTTCCTTTCTACTGGGCCTCACACACAATCATATACGGGGATCTATCAGTCACTGTCTTCCTTTCCACGGGTCCTCACGCACAATCGTATATGGGGCTCTATCAGTCACTGCTATGTTTCATTTCAACATATTCTTCCAAAATCTTCAGAAACTCCCCCAGACTTAGAAAACAAAATTTGATAGCTCTCAACAAAACAAGGTGTGCCAAGCTTATCTGAGAAGGATTATGTCCTGTATTACTTTTCACTGTGAATATATCAAATCAGACTTTGTGGCTCAGCAGACCCATAACCCTGACCACTGACACTGATGCCCACGCTGCCTGTCTGAAACCCTCCCGAGCTATACTAACATGATGCAATTCCCCTCGGCTGTCGAGTACTGACCTCTCTCCTGTGTACTTCAGTGTGACAGTTCATGCCCTCCAATCAGTGATCGCTAAACTCAAGTATAATCAACATCTCCTAAAATTTACACTCTCAAAATTTACACTGGCTCAAACTAAAAGAAAAAAACCACAGTCCCTTGTACCAGTATTAGGGTGGGATGACAGTTCATAAGAGATTTATCAACAAATAATACAAACCAGATTGGAAGAAACAAAACAAACGTTTATCAGATGACAGGTACTTCTGGGGACTGTTGCATCCTTCAGAAACCATGCCTGTGTAACCAGGAAGTATAACTTATGGCTGGTGGGAAAGTGGAGAGGGAGACGGGACCCACAAATGGAGCACAACACAAAGTGGTGAAAACGGACAAAAACTGGGTACCGATAAGGAGAAGGCGGTCCTCTACCGCAAATGCCTGTGTGCCTGCACAAAGTCCAAGCACTCCTGATAGAGAATCTCTGTGGCAATTACTGGAAACTGCTAAAGGTGAAAGAAATTTACCCTGCAAAGGCTTCAATCTCAACTCTGCTCACAACCACATGACCACCACGAGGTCATGAAACAGCTCCATTTTCTATCCTTCCCAATTCTAAATTCTAAAATTCTACAGTTTCAGGAAATTGGGGGAAGTTTTTAGTTTATACACGCACAAGTGTACACTAGGGGAAAGAATGGGAGGCCACCCGCCCCTGGGTATCATGCCATACCCCTTGACTCTCCCACAGCATCACACCCAAAGACAAGGACAGTATGGTACCTTGAGCTGTTGCAAAGCTTTGGCAATGACCGGCTGGCTGGAGGTCTGCTCTTGCCGTAGGGTCATCAGCCCCTCGATGGACTGCTGGAAGGCTTTTCTCTGCATTAGGAGGTGAGCCGACTCCATGACAACAAGAATAAGATTATCCACCTGGAAGGAAAACCAAACACAGGGCATAAAAACAGACCAGACGGTGACTGCTTACCCACCTCAAACCACCACTTCAGGACTGCCATGCCAACAGCTGCTGCCTGACGGGCAAAGGGAAGAGCCCCACCAGGCTGGGGGGGCACAGGCAGTCCAGCGCCACTGTGCATGTGCAGCATGTATGAAAAACAAGAGTAAGAAGCAGGTGAGGGCCGGGGCACAAGTCACCAAGCTGTTGGGCCTGCACGATTTTTATTAAGAGATGGAGAATCACTACCATGGAGTAGATCTGTGTGTCATCAGGATCACACGAACAAACAACAAACCAACTGGAGAACAGGAGGGCAACAAGGTAAGACAGTGCAGTTGTTCAGAAGCGGGATAGTGACACCTGAGCTGGGTCGTGGTCCTGCGAGCACTAGAAACAGGTCATCTGGGGCTGGAGAGATGGCTCAGTGGGTTAGAAGACTGGCTGCTCTTGCAGAGGACCCGGGTTTGATTCCCAGCTAACAACCATCCATCACTCCAGTTCCAACGGATTCCAGCACCCTATTCTGACCACCATGGGCACTGCACAACACGGGTGCATTTACATACATGCAAGCAATACACTCATATGCATAAAATAAAAATAATAAATAAGTAAATTTTTTTTTAAAGGAAACAGGTCATTTACTAGATGTGCTTCTGGCTGCCTGGGCTGATGATTAACTGGAAAGGCAGGAAGACACACTTGCACACTTCTGCCTTACACAGGTAAGCAGACATGGTCAACTGAGACAGAGACTGCAAGGGAGAGACGAAGGCGGCAGGTGCAGCAGACTCTGACCAGCTCTGGTCCAGCCGAGCCCCAGATATGTGTGAACACTTCCATCTCTGTCCCTAAGCAGAATACACATGAGGCTTCTGGCAGGTGACAGATGTAATTAGCGAGCTTCAAAACTGACCAGGGCCCCTGTTGGGCAGGAAGGCCTTTCCTACAAAAGTGAAAACTGACCAGCACCAAGAGATCAGCAGTATTATTTTAACTCTTTATAAGCTCTTCAGAAACTGGGATTTCTGGAACTATAAATGCATTAGTGAGACAGTGGCTTTTAAAAATCACAAGTCTCTAAACCTAACTACATGATTGAACAAAAAAAGGTATAAGTCAAATATGTAGGTTGTTTCAAATATTCCAATATAATTTAACATACTCAACAAAACTTGCTGGCGTATTTTAGGAGAATTGCACTCAAACTTCATGAAGTACAATGTTGGGAAACATTTGAGGAAGTGCGTACTTCGGATCACTATGGTTACTGTTCATAAACTGCAATCCATTTTTCAAAAAAGGGTTTCAACTAGCACAACTGAGTGGTGAGGCCAGAAAGTGGCGTACGTACCTGCATGTTTCTCAGGGTATCGACAGTCTCCACCTGGGGCACAACTTTGACAGCCTGTGCCTCCCACATGCCCCAGCCATCTTCTGAGTCCCTGGCTTGGTCCCCGTGCTTGGTCAGAAGCAGAAAGGCATCGATGAAGACGTCGTCTGGGTCTTTTGAGCAGTCCTTTCCTGCAGCAGCATTGAGTAACTGCAAAATAATGCTTTTCTCCTCAGCAAGTGTGTCGGGAACAAACATGTGCAAGTTTTCTAACCCAGGAATCTGTACCTAGAAAGGAAAATGATCCAGTCTTAAAATAAGAAATACATTATTTTAAAAAAACGAAAACAAAGCAGCCAGGCATAGTTGGTGCATGCCTGTAATCCCAGCACTCAGGAGGCTGAGGCTGGAGGATCTCAAGTTTGAGATCAACCTGGGCAATACAGTAAATTCAAGCCAACCAGGAGGCAGGTGGGGTGGGGTAGGGTGTGAAAAGACAAGCAGTTTTAAGGGCAGGGAGGTGTGTGGGAAAGGCATCAGTCTAAGCAAAGTTGAGCTGGAGAAAGGGAGGAGGCGGGGATGGACTGGGTCCTTGCAGCTTCTCCAGTTATAGCATGGGTTTCATCTGACTTCTGCCAATAGAAACTAGTCCTGGGTGTGGGGCACAAGCCTAGGACAACCTGCCAGAGTTAGCCAGATGCTGTTCCAGGAGGCAGGGCTCAGAGAACCGCCTAGCAATCACTTAACAAGGGACACAGATGCACAGCAGCCCACCCTACGTCCCTGGGCTTGGCATACAATTCCAAAGACATGCTACACACAGGTCCCAAAGTGACAATCAAGCAACTTAAAGTGGACTAACGACTGGGACTAAAACATCGTATGGTGATGACCAGGATAGAGCATCAAAGGCTCATGTAAAATCTTCCAAGTGCTTCAGGAAACATGAGCATCAGCACCCAAATCGCTATGTAAAATCAATACATTATTTCAATACAGATGGACAACTAAATTAATAAATAATGCACATTAACAGCTGATTTATAAGAATAATGTGTGAGCAAGTTTGGCTTTCTGGCCACTTGCAGGATCAATGCACCAACCATGCCTAAAATCTTTACTGCCTGCTGTGAACAGGCCCCGCTGTAGACCAGGTGCTCTAAGTAGGCCTGATAGACTCTCACCTTAACATACTGCTTTGCTTTCAGAGCACCCAGAAGGTCTCGGACTGGGACGGAAAGTACAAATTCTGCCGCTATTTCCAGGTCCTAGGATCACAGTAACACAGAAGGCACGTGAGGATGAGCTTTGTGGCAGAGAGGAAGATGCAGCAATCGGGTGTGAGCTCACCTTTCTCAGCATTTTAGCAAAGCCCAGGGCTTTGGAAGCCCTTTCCCTGGCTTCGTGGAAGAGCTCCTTGAGCGCTCGGCTGATCTCTATGACAGACCTCCTGCCAAGGAATCGAAGCCCAGTTAGTTCACAACAGGCACCTGGGTTCAGGAACACCTAACTACAAAGACACTGCAAATTCCAAATCGTAGCAACAGCTAACACCAACAAGCATCATCAGTGGGAACAAGCAGTCACAGAAAATGCAGCTCCAATACTCAGCAGCAGCTCCTCTCGTTTCTGCGTAAAGTACTCAAGTACTTCCAATACAAGTAGGGTCCCCCAAATAACCCACAAACAACAGTGTGCTCAATTTTCTGAAGACTTCACTATGGCAAGTTCTTAAGAGTCTGAGGTAAGTTTTTGATAAACAGGTCACAATCTAATTGAAAAGAAATGCATACATAGGGTGGTAAACGTTTGACAGCTGTCTCCCTGCACACCTCACGCACTGACTCATGTGGCACACTGCTGCCACCACGGCTGATCACAGGGAGCAGCAGGACACCATGGTGCGTGCCTTGTGGACCACTAAGGCCACTCTATAGAAAACCCCTTGAGATCCATCCCTGGCAGAGCAGTGCAGCATCCCAAGAGCTGCTGACTAGTATACCACCTTCAACTCCCACCCTATCCTGAAGCTTCAACTCAAAACTACAGGGCTTGTACGGCTACTCTCTCTGTCACTCAGCCATCAACGTTTTCCCAGGTGAGAACCTGGCTGAGAATGTCTTATCCAGCAATTCTGAAACCCCAACTGCTATCATCAAAATTCAGATGGTGAGCAGAAATGCTTGTGCTTTGAAGGACACCTGTGACCTGTGTGGACTGACTCGGCTATTACGATATATGGCCACAAAATAGCTATATGACCCCCCCACACACAACCAATTTCAGTGGTTCAACCTAAAAAGCACCTACACAGAACTAGACGAAATTCAACAAATGAATAAGCCATGATTTCACACACTCTTAATGTTCAACAGAAGTAAAGCATAAAAAACAGTAAAAATGTGTCAAATGTCATTAAAAGGTAGCAATGGACAGTCCCAGAAAATGTGGGTTGAATCAGTTAATTATATTCATTTTCAGCTAATTTTTTCCCAGTCTCTGAAGGTACTGCTTTTATTATGCTCAATTATGCTGCCTTCAAAGAGATTTCTGCATAAAGCTGTAACTAAAAGATCACATGAAAAGATAGTACTAAATAAGTCCTGTTGGGTTTACTGCCCAAATTCCTTCTGTCCAGTACAATCCGGCTTGAACAAGGCTCACTGGAGGCTCATCAGGGGAAACAAAGCTTCACGGGATAGGAACGGAGCAGAAAGCAAGCTCAGATCCAACCTTATTTCATCTGAAGCACTGTTGTCATCAGCACTGGTCCAAAACTCAGCACAGCTCTCCTGCAAGCCGACTTCTAGAAAGATCCCCGTAGATTTCAGCAGCATTCCTGCAATGTCACTAAGGGAGCAAAACACAATAAAGTAAAACAGAAGGAAAATGGTCCTGAAACCAGGTTCAGCTACGGCACAATGGTTTAAAACTCACCAGTGTTCTTTAGCATTAAATCATAACGGATGTGAAAAGCTTAAGTCTGGATTCTAACATATCTTTGGCCTACTGTACAGTATTTAATTATAAACCATAGAATCATAAGCTATGTCTACAGGAGCTATGTGTATACAAATGTTATTTCCATCTTAAATGTTAAAAACAGTATAAAATGCCTCAAACAAAACAGACCACAGGGAAGGAAAGCAAAGTGAATTCCTGAAATGCAGCTGGTTTTAAATTTTCCCTGCACTTAGCTTCTATAGTACCTGATCTTCCTCAGGGATACACAGTTTAAACACCAGTGGTAAACCAAACACCGAGGCACACACAGCTGTGTGAATTACAGTGGTAAATCTTCAACAACAGGTTTTTGACCCAATCATATTCAAGGAGAGGCTACCACAGCCTATTTAAAGAGTGTAGGTAAGAACAGGGCTTATCAGATGGGGAGGAACAAAGGGGCAGGGCTGACCGAGCCCAGCTGGAGGGGAGCCTCTACTGGGCCGACAGCCCCTGCTACAGGAGGGGAGGAAGGGGATCTGTGGGAAGCCCAGCAGCACAGACAAGGTGTATCCAGCACAAGGCAGGCCTGAAGAAAGAAGGAACTACAAAGCCTGGCAGGAGACCCTGAAGCAAACTATGTGGGGCTGTGCCCTGGAGGGCCTGGGTGTCGTGCTAGTAAGTTTGATCTTGTGGCCATCAAAGTAAGCGGGCTTTAGAATGCCTGAGTAGGAAGGAGACTTGGTTAGAAAGTGATTTAAAAAGACCATACGAAGACCTCGGGCAGTACTGACCCAACAGCTATTACGTGGGGACACACAGCAGCCGCAGGGAGCAAAGATGTCCTGCACTGGGCGGGAAAGATGAGCACAAAACCCGAACCCTAATACTCACTGCTTGTAAATGTGCTGGGAGGTAACACTTCAACAAAGACCTGAAGGCAGTGGGGAAAAGTCATGAAAATAACTGGGGAAGAGCCGTCCACGGGGGCAACAAGTTCCAAGGGTCGGAACAGGACCCACCCAGCGCCGGGCTGTGCAGTGGGCACTGTGGGGCCCAGGAGGAGGTGAGGACACTGCAGGAGAGGGCAGACTGCACCAGGGCCGTTGTGGGGCATTCTCACAGTGGGGGACCACTGGAGCATCCCAAGAAGACAGCGTAGTGGACCGTTAGACAACAGCATCTGTTGCTGGTGGAGAAAAGTGAGAGATTCTGACAGAAACAGACTGAGACAGCCACATATGGAAAAGTGGGGGCTTAGGAGTCGAGAAAGGAGGCTCATTGTGTGACACATCCTCAGGGGCAGCCAGAGCACATGAGAGGACAACTGGAGTTTAAGGGGGGTTGGGGCGGGCACCACACTGAACCTGGAAGGGTGCCGTCTACCGAGCAGATGTTGCTCAGAGTGGCAGAGCCCCGGGGCCATTCTCAGAACAAAGAACACCAAGGAAAGGCCAGAGACTGTGGCCTGGGAACAGAAAGACATAACAGGGACAGAAGGACATGAGGAGAGAAACTACACAGCACGATCCAGAGTGAAACTACGTGAGAACCTTCCCAAGCAGCTCAAGAGCACTTGACGGGCTGGAAACAAAATAGAATTACAGAAAAGTAAGAGAGGGCTGATGTTGAAAATAGCAATGGCAATGGATCCTTTTTTTTTTTTTTTTTTTTTATAAGAAGCCTGACTAGGGCTAGAAAGATGTTCAGCCATTAAGAGCACTGGCTGCTCCCGTAAGGACCCCTGGTTCCTAGCACCCACAGGGCACCAACAACACAAGTCCTTAACTTCAGTTCAAGGGGGTCTGGTGCCCTCTTCTGGCCTCTGTGGGCAGTGCACACACAGTGCACTTATATAATGCAGGCAAACACTCATACAAAATAAAATATGAATAAACACATTTTTTTAAAAAATCAGAAAGAAGGCCGACCACAGGAACGAAGCTGACTGTTGGAGCCAGGCAGAGCAGCCCGGGCCAGGCCTGATGGACGGGAGTCAGACCAGCAAGCTCACCACTCAAAACAAGATGGAAGTTAAGAACTGGAGTGCGAAGCAGAAAAGCGGACACAAGCAGACAGAGGGACAGCAGAGACCAGTGGGGTCGAAGGAGCACCCAGGACGGAGGCTGATGTCCTGACGCAGGACAGGGCAGGAGGCACCCAAGAGCTGAGGTACTCAGTGCACTCCTCATAAAAACAGGCAATCGAATACAGGGAGGAAGCAGGGATGGGCGCAACAGGGCAGGGCCTCACCCTGCCTCGGGTCACACTAGAGCAGCCACCAGAGCCCTGTGAACCCAAAAGGAGGCGACAGCCTGGGTCTGACCAACAAGATGCTCATTTCTGGATCAGCAGAGAGGACCTGCTCTCCCTCCTCAGGTGTCCTGGTCCACCCTCACTCTTTTACTGGACATAAGGAGTTTATAAGAGCTGCTGTAATCTGACTGCATTCCCAAACCGCCCTCAATGAGTTCTGAATGTCCTCACCCAGTTACACACACACAGCACTATCCTACTGCCACAGGACTCAAAGTCTCCTCCCTTTACTATCAACAAGAAAACAAAACAAAAGGGTGACTCATAAGGCAGGACTTCTAAGGCCGACACTGGGGCCGATCTTTCTGATTACACGGCTGCAAGGTTGCAGTGTCCAGGCCTCTGGCCTCTACTGAGGTGCCCAGGTGCTAGCAGTGCCCTCCCCACCAAAACAATCAAAAATGTCTCCAAGCACCAGCAATGCTCCCAAGGGGGCAAAACCACCCAGGTGAGAACCACGGTGCAAACTGTGGACAAGGGGCTCAGAGCAGTGTTTACGGACATGACATTCAAATGCAGGAACGAGAATCAAGGCATCTGGGGGTGAGAAAGGACGACACTCCACCGCACAAGGACTCCTACCAGAACAGCTTTCCAGCCTGTGCTTCTCCTCCCCGGATGTAATGAGTTATGTCTTTTGTGAAATTCCATTCTTCCTCTAACAGATTCTTTAAGCTGTGGGACGCCTGAGGCAACTGCTGCAGCATCTGGATCCAGCTTCTCATGTACTCAAAGTACACCTTAAGACACAAAAATATGAACAGACACATCTGAGAGAGTTCAGCAACTCACAACGCCACCTCTGTTAACACACAGTGTAAATCAGAAGGGATCCAAAGGGCGAGACAGAAGAGAAACAGAGCCAAGCAAGCAACCCTGAGAACCAGCAAGCTTTCCCTCTGACCTCCACATACTGTGTACATGTGTGTGCAGGTGTACACACGCACACCCAATGTAAAAACAAGAAAAAAAATGTTTGTTCTATTATTTTATGTTGTATGCATGTATTGCATGAATGTATGCAATTGTACCCGTGTTGTGCAATGCCCGTGGACAACAGAAGGCATCAGATTCCCTGGACCTGGAGTTACGGATGGTTGTTAGCCACCAGGTCCTCTGTCAGAGCAGCCAATGCTCTCAGCCGCTGAGCCATCTCTCCAGCCCCAAGAAAACATTTTAAATGAACCTTTCACGCTCCTCACAATCTTGCTGCACTGCTGTCCCAGGGCCGTCGCTGGGCTGTCCCTGGGCTGTTCCTGGGCTGTCTCTGGGCTGTCACTGGGCTGTCTCTAGGCTGTCACTGGGCTGTCCCTGGGCTGTTGCTGGGCTGTCACTGGGCTGTCGCTAGGCTGTCCCTGGGCTGTCACTCGGCTGTCCCTGAGCTGTCCCTGGGCTGTCCCTGAGCTGTCCCTGGGCTGTTGCTGGGCTGTCCCTGGGCTGTCGCTAGGCTGTCACTGGGCTGTCCCTGGGCTGTCGCTGGGCTGTCACTGGGCTGTCCCTGGGCTGTCGCTAGGCTGTCCCTGGGCTGTCACTCGGCTGTCACTGGGCTGTCACTCGGCTGTTGTTTGGCTGTCAATCAGAGAACCTCTCCCAAATCCAGCCCATCCTTAAGTCCCACCAATTTCACTTCCTGTGTGTCTCTTAAACCCTTACACTTCTTTCTTAATGCGCACGTTACATGGCTCACCACCCCAGCACACCACTCGCACATGCAGTGCTGGGATGGCCTTGCCCTGGACCCCGCCCGCCCCCAGCCTGCTCACTTTGCAGCCAGAACCCTCTCTCCATTCTCACTCTGGGACCTTCCCTCCTGCCACACTCTGTCCAAACTATTTTTTTCCATCCTTTTACAGCATTTCAAATTTAAAAGAGGCTGAAAAATATCACCACAAATATCACTCAGAATGAACAAATGCTTAATGTTTTGTCATATTTGCTTTCCAAATCTTTTCAATGAGAAGAGAGCAGGTGGCTAAGCGATGGCTCAGGGGTTAACAGTACATTTTGCTCTTGCAGAAGACCGGAGTTCAATTCCCCACCCCCACATTGGGTGACTACAACTACCTGTAACTTCAGCTCCAAAGGGGGGGTGTCCAATGCCTTCTTCTGGTCTCCAAGGGTACGGGGTCTACATAGTGAGTTCCAGGACAGCTGGGGCTACAGGGATACCCTGTCTCAAATAAATAAATAAATAAATAAATAAATAAATAAACAGGATGCCAGAAAACTAAATTCTCCTTCATTTCTCTCTCTTAACTCGTGCTCCTTCCTCCCCACAGGTGACCGTGATCAGGAATTCCTACTGGTCTATATACTTTTTATAGGTTTTTGGTTTTGTTTTGTTTTTCAGACAGGGTTTCTCTGTAGCCTAAACTAGCCTGAAACACGATATTTAGACCAGGCTGGTTCTCATCTCAGAGAAGTCACCTGCCTCTGCCTCCCAAATGCTGGAACTAAAGGCATGTGCCATGACACCCAGCACTATACTGCTTTTTAAAACAATCTCTTACATAAAGTACAACCCAAGCACAGTTCCTCATGTTTTGATTTTTACACAGATTGTGTTATAATGAATACACTAACCTTCAGATGCACACCTCTGCCCCTTGCTCAGAGGAGCATTCTTGAATCTCCAGGCAAACTCAAATCCTACTGTTAGAGCTACAAGACACCTGTGCCTCTACTTTGCACACTTTAATATTTGTATGACTACTTAATGACCATTTCCTATCATCCTTCAAATGTGAAGGGGGAATTTATGTCCATCACTGAATCCTTCATATCCTGCATGACTCCCACCTGACCCTCAGTAACTACTGGGAAGAATGAAGTCTTTCTGCTCTAGCTCTGGAGTCTTCTGCAGAAACGCTAACTCTGCCCATGGACCCACCCTGTGAGTCCTCTACAGCTGCCACATCTTCGTTATGTTCATGGTTTCCTGAGGCCTTTCACGGTTTCTTCTGCATATGTCTATTATCTGGATTTCTCCTGAAGTCAGGCCCAGGGAAATGAGCTGAGATCACTCACAGCCACAGTACAGGTTTGCTGCCTCAATCCCTCACCAAGTCCTGTCCCTGGCCTTTGGGTGAGCATGTGTTACAGTTTCTTCATAATGCTCAAGCCTGGCTTTCTGCCCTACAACCCTCTGACCCCTCCTCTCCACTTTAGCAGAGCTCCAGTGGGCAGCTGTTAAGGCTGGCGGGGACACACACACACACACACACACACACACACACACACACACACCACACCAAGCTTCTGCCTGTGGGGATCCGCAGGTAGCAGCAGAGCTTTGTGGACTTGCCTGCTCCCTGCTGCACTGACACCTCAGCTCTAGTCAGTCAGCACATGGCTCCACCGTCCCCAAGGTGGGAAGCATTCAGTACTGCGTCCATACTCACTGTAGTCTGCACTTCAAGACAAATAACGGTAACACCCGTTCAGCACAGACACTCATGACAAGTTCCTCCTTTCCTAAACAGGGCATTTTGTTTCTTTGCTCCTTGTGGTGGGCTTCAAGAGAAGGGTGTGTGGTGAAAGTGATCCGATTGCCTGTCAAGAGACAGTCTTCCCTTCCTTCCTCAGAGAACACAGATGCTATCTGGGGTCCCCCAGTCCTTGAAGCACACTCTTGCCCTGATCCTTCCAGCACACAGTGGGGCACAATCTAAAGTCACTGATTAACTGCAGTCCCTTCATCTGCAAATGCTGCATCCTGATTCAGGCAAGCCACGGGCAGCAAAGCCGTGAAGGCTACAGGTTCCCATAGCAGGGGAGCCACGGCTGTCGGCAGGCCCTCACCTTGGCCTCTCTCGCCGGCCGCAGGTACACCTGGGCAGGAGTAGGAGGGACAGTCCACCAGGCAGGGCCCTGACCCACTACAGGACAAAAGGCTGCTTCCTACCACAAATTCTCAATGATTAAGATGTTCTGAATCAAGAAATACATTGTATTTCAGAGTGCAGCCACTGTACACACTCTGGTCTTCTATGTGCCTTCTTCAAATAATTAGTAGTTTCAAACACATTAAAATCATTTTTCATAGTATGCTAGATGTTGTAAGCCCCTCTGCCCACCACCTTCTTCCTTCTCTCCACTGAGGCTGAGAGGATGCTCAATATGTGAATTCCCACCCAGGGCTGCTAATTACAAAGCCATGTGAAAGTCTGTCTGATTAATACAAAAGGGATGAATTGGGCAGGACCTCCAGGAAAGCGCCCAGTGCTTTGATAAAACAGCTTGCCCTTGGCTGGCAGGGGGCTTTTGCCCTTTCCACCAGCCAAGAAAGTAGGTGGTACCTGGAGGTGCTGCCACCTGAGGCAGGACACAGTGAGCTGTTAAGCAAGAAAGCACCTCCAGAATACACAGCGCCATGCCAGAGCTCTGGAACTTCAGCCTGTTGCCTCATGTGACCACCTATGTGGTTACCCCAAGGACTCCAGCAGGCATTTCCTACACAGATGCACTCCACCACACAGCATGGGTGTCAAGGTACAGACCCTGCTCATGAAGCTTTCGGGCTACGAGTCTCTACTGATATGTTCTGTTCTAGCACCACTGAGAGCTCACAGAAAGTACAGACATCTGCGGTTTAAAGACTGGACTGTCAGATATGCTTTCCGGAGAAAAACAAAACCTGAAAGTAAGTCCTAAGTGGGCAGGAAAAAATAACATAACAGTCCAAAGGTTAAAGCACAGGCAGGCACGGCCTGGGGTCTGTGGGGATAAAATGAAAGTCTACTCCTGTCAGGCTGGCTCCTGGTAAGTCCTTCAACATGCTGGTTCCTTGAGAAGCCTTGACTCATCCCTGAGATCCCATTTCCTCCTGGGAAGCGTCCTGTGGTCCTCTCCAGGCTAGATCCGGGTCCCAGCTAAGCAGACTTCCCCCAGCCCGGGTGTGTGAGCGTGAGCAGCGGCCAGTCCCCACTCACCGAGCTGCTGCTCTTCGCTGCTTCCTGAGCTATGCAAGGCCCTTGGGCCTGTCCCAGGAACTGTAATGAGTGAGATTAAGACTTGTGCAAGTGTCACTTTAAATACCTTTGAGGGTTTTAAGCGAGGGTTTAGAAAAACCAAATGTAATCTTTCCACACAGAAAGAAACATGTCAAAGGCCACCACATTCACCTAGCTCACAAATCAGAAACGTCTCCCTCTCCCTTACCATCAGCATCTTCTGCAGATCCTCTTCGAAAGCATCGATGTTGCAGTCGGTCTTCTCCAGGCCATCCAGCACCTCCTGTAGCATGAACTGGTAATACTGCTTCATCAGAAGGCCGCCCTTCAGGACCTCCTTGCACTCTCTCACCAGCTACAAAAGAACGCACAGAAGTCACCCCACACCCCGACCACACAGGCTGCCGACCCTCACACAACCCCGGACAGATCCTCAAAAACCCCAAAGGGAACCTTGTCTCTAAAAAAACCCAAATAGCTTCCAGACTCCTGCCTGTGTATGCACGTGACACCTCAGCGGTCTGTAATTCTGCACTAGACACACAGGAAAGCATGGGCAGCCATTACTTGGCTAAAGCATGTTTTACAGATAAATTCAAATTAAAAACAAACTCTTCATAGTAAGACCACTTTGACTAATTTATACCATAAGACAAAAGATAGAAGAAAAAAAAAATCTCATGAAATGGGTAAATTTTAACCCAAACTGGAAAGCTGAAATAACGCCATGTGCTGGTGGCTTCTGAGGACTTTAGCATAGCTTACCTACCACAGTGTGTGGTTTCATCTACTACCAAAACTGCAAACCAAGCCAACCCCGAGCTTAATCTAACGAAAGTAGATGGAAGTCAAGAAAAACAAAAAGTGAGGCAAAACCACAGCACACAGGTCCGGCCAGTGACATCTTAACGGAGGGAGGAAGGCAGAAAGGAGATGACCTGGAAAGCCCTTCCACCCATCAGAGCTGGGGCACGATGCACTCTAACCACCAGGAACCGAGGACCAGGACCCGAGTCATGTCCGTTCTCATATGCGGCAGCTGCAAAAGGGGCTCTAAAACAGGCCACTCACTTACTGACTAGGCTTACCCTCGAGAAATAATCAGAGCCGCAACTAGGACTCACCCACAAATGGGCATCACAGTATTATTTTAAAAAGGACTGATAGGCTGTGGCATACTGACAGGCAGAGAACTGAGGCGGCCACTGAAATTCTTGTTTATGAAAAATACAGAAAAGGAGGAAAGACGGGCATGTGTTTAACACATACACAGGCACACACACATGCACACACACATAGGAAGTATGCACGAGCAAAAAAAAACAAATGGACAGAAACACAAAATGCTCCCATGGTCACCTCCTGAGTGGCAGGAGATGAGGTGAACTTTATTTTTGTGTCTTTACTATGCTCTTTAAATTTTCTAAAATAAATTGTTTTTATAGATAGGAGTCCTTAAATGTTTTAAAAATAATTATACATGGTGAGTGAGAGACAGCCAATACTTACATCTGCTCTGTTCATAAATTTCTCTGCAAGTGTTACAGGTGCTTATTAGTAATCTGAATTTATGTAACTGAAAATTCCTATTCTCTTTTTACTCTAAAATAGTACAACAAACCAAGGTTTTTTTTTTTTTTTTTTTTTTTTTTTTTGCTTTTCAAAGTGCTTTAACATAAATCACAGTGAAGCGCGAAGCCCGCCTTTTCTCTCCTTGCAGGCTGCCTCTGAGTGCCTTCCCGAGGTAAACGTTTAGCTGGAGGTCTCGGTGCCTGCTGCAGGACAGAAGAAGATGAGGTAAACTACACCAGGTGGACAAGCAATGCTCAGAGAGGTTGAGCAAGGGCCATAGAGTGAGTGCGGAAGCAGCTCTAGTTGATGCTGGGTGTTGACTCTGGTGACCCACAAGGGGCCTATGCCCAAATGTTCTCCATTATTCCCTAGTCTACACCCGAGCAAACAAGCGAGCAGACGAAATCCTCTCTGGCTGGCTATGTGGCTTGACTGGCCTACCTCTCCTCTGTCTGTGCTGCTCAAGCCAGTCACTCATAAAGCCAGGTGGCTCCCAGCCCTGCAATTCCTCTGGGATGGAGCGAGATCTCAAAATGCTTACTTTATACAGTTGTGTTGACACATTAATACTGTAAAGCACACACACTCTTCAGAATTCACTCTTCAATAAAACAGCCTCCGGCCATTCTGCTGCTGCCCTTGAAGTATCACCCCACGACCCCCGAAGACCACCAAAAATTCACGAGTAGGAAGGAGATCAGAAACTGGACTTACTAGTGAAGGCACACAATTGATTAAACAAGCAAAGAGTTCAAAATATCTCTCCTGCTTGCATATACTAAGATATTTAGGTGTTTACAAATAAACAGAATAAAAAATAAATTGAATGAATTTAAATTGTCTCTCTTAAAAATGAAGTTTGCGCCGAGCATGGTGGTGCATGCCTTTAACCCCAGCACTTGGGAGGCAGAGGCAAGCAGATCTCTGTGAGTTCGAGGCCAGCCTGTTCTACATAGTGAGCTCCAGGTCAGCTGGAGCTACAGTGAGACCCTGTTTCAAAAAGCCCCCCCCCCAAATAAAGTCTGTGGGGCTGAAAAAATGGGGTGGGGGGCTACACAGTGGTTAAGAGCACTGGCTGCTATTACAGAGGACCTGGGTTAAAATTCCTGTACCCACACGGCAGCTAACTACAGTTCCAGGGTATCTGATGCACTCTTCCGGCCCCCATGGGCAGTGTATTCCACACATGTGGTGCACTTACATATATGCAGGCATAACACCCATATGCATGAAAGCAAATGAAAGAATAAACTGTGGAAGCTGGGGTATGGCACAGCGCAGTGACGGAGCACTGACACCACCAAGCAGGGACAAGGCCCCGGTCTGGCCCCCAGTATAGCCACAAATAAATAAAGTTTTTAAAAAGAGTTTTGTTTCCAGTCAACAAAACTGACAAAAAGGATTCAGAGGGTCACACCAAACCCTGCTTTGATGTGCTTCAGAAGGAAGGGGGTGGCCGAAAAGCGCAAAGGCCCCCTTGTCTGAAGGCTGCCAGTGAGGAACATTCTAAACGGCTCCTAAAAGAGCAGCTGAAAGGCAAACGCTAATACACGTTCACTTTTCACTACTTGTAATAATAGGAAGATAAAATGCTCCAAATACAAAGGATAAGGGTGCAGCCTCACGCAGCAGCTGCTGGAGGCTGAGGCAGTCTGAGACGAACCTGCTTGATGCTCAGGAGGGAGGGCTCCCCGGCAGGCCTCTGCTCCAGCCGCAGCTTCAGACACTCATGGATGACGTTCAGCAGAACTCGGCAGAGCACTAGGAAAGCGGGCTCAAATGAGGGCAGGTCCATGGACTTCAGCTCTTCCCAGGACACAGCACTGCATTTCTGCTCCGAGGAAGGGGGCGTCCTGGACAGTTGTACATAATCCGAGCCCCACATGGGATCTGGAAATTCAGAGAACTGCCGCAAAAATTCAAGACAGATTAAAAAGGCACACAGGACACTGTCCTAAAGTTGTGGCTATAAGCTATTTTCTATCATTTGCTGACATAGCTGCAAAATTCTTAATTTTTAAAGTAAAAGAATCTTCAAAAATTCAACATTTACAACACAGACCCCCAAAAGTCCTAAGTGTTAGAAAACCTTAACAAGAACTAAACCCAATTGTTACATTTATCAAAACAGCAAAAGAATGAAGTTTGAAGAAAACACATAAAAGTATCAGAATGCTTTAAGCCTCCTTGAGAGCTACCCACAACTATCTGCAGACTGAGAAACCAGGTATTTGCTACAATTACAGAACCAGGAAATAGCCCATTCTATGTATGACCATTTAAAGGCAGTGAGTTCAACTAATTCTTCTATTTATTTCAACAGAAAAAGAGAATCTTACAGCAGCTCCGAGTCACCTGTTACCTAACGCTACCTGGGATCCTGCACGGCTGCTTGCCACTCTTTCAGTGGGCAATTCAAATTCTTAAATAGGGGATCTGGAACTTTCCCCCAACATTCTTAACCCTGAACATGAGGGCATCAAAATTTGAAATACTCAGCTTTTCTTCAACTTGTAACCTCTCCAACTGCAGCCCAGTCTACATCCATGGTTCCGATGTTTGTCCTCCAGTCACGTGGAACTCTTTACTGTCCTCCACTCACATCTTGGCCTTTAATTGGCTCCTGACACAGGGGCCAAGCTTCAGACGCCCTCAGAGGACACACCTGAGGGTATCTGAACTCGACTTTGACATGCAGGACAGTCAGACAATGCTGGCTACATGACAGCACTCTTCTGACCCTTTCAAGGTCTCTCCTGGCCGTCCACCCACTAAAGCATCAAGAACCTAGTCAGAGGTCTCGGCCCTCACTGGACCAGCAGCCACGCCTCAGGCCTCGCCTCTCTGGGCTCCTACACCATGGCTGACCCTGGCCCAGGCCGCCTGCTCTGAGGAGTTTCCCAGCTCAGCCCAGTTCCGAGGTCCACCCCGAGATGCCTTTTTACCCACAGCATGCCAAGCACACCATCCCCTGAGCTCACTCTGACTTCATTACAGAAACACTGTAGTTCAATGAGAGAGAGAAAAAAAAATCAAGGTCCAAAAGTCAACAAGTTTGGCTTTGGGTCATTTAATTAGCTATGTGGTTCTGGAAGTATTAAGCAGTCCCACAGGCTCAGTTTCTTTCTTTCTTATTTTTTTATTTTATTTTTTATTTTTTGGTCTTTTTGACACAGGGTCTCCCTGTAGCCCCAGCTGTCCTGGAACTCACTATGTAGACCAGGCTGGCCTTGAACTCACAGAGCTCCGCCTGCCTGCCTCTGCCTCCTAAGTGCTGGGATTAAAGGCATGGGCTACCACGCCCAGCCCAGTTTCCACCTAGTTTCTTTATTTTAAAAACAAGGTTGGGCAAGGGACTGTATGTAGTTCAGCAGTAAAGTATTTGCCTAGATGTGAGGCCCTCAATTCCCAGTGTCTGTTAGCCCCTCCCCCCTTCCTCTTCCTCCCCTTTGTAAAGATTAGGTAGAGCAAACCTACAGAAAAGCTTGTAAAAACCTGCATATAACATCTGTACAATGACAACTGTTAGCATGTTCTCTCCTACGACATCACAAGCTGCTGTAGAGCAAATGCAGGCAATGGCAACTTAAGTCGGGTCTCTATTCCACGCCCACATCTAGGACTTTCAGGGAAAGTAGTACCTGAATTACAAAGCACCTTGGCTGCTGACTGGACGAACCATGTCAGTCACTCTCCTCAGCATGGCTCCCTATCCCTATGTTCCTCCTGCTTCCAATGGCTCGAAAAATACTGCCTGTCCACAGTCCCCTTGAGTCAGCCCTGCAGGTACACCCTGTTAGTTCTATTGCTTAAGATGCTTGAAGACTTCCATGTCCCTTCTAGACACCCTAGCTGTCTTAATTCACACTTTCTGTCCACTGCTTTTCCTGATTTGGACATTTTAACCCACTGAACTCAAGTAAGCTCCACGTGGCTTTGCTTTCAGGCTGGTCTTACCCTTCCTTCTACTTTAAACACAGTGCTCCACTGGTACCTGTGAAGACCAGGCCCTCTTGTTTAGCCCAAAGCTCTGATATCAATGCAGACCTGACCTTATCTCCTACCAACTGCCTTCCCCCAATATAAAGGTCTCACATTTTCCTAACCATTTCAGACACGCTCTGGGATTCTGCACAGGCTAATCCCTGGCAAATTCCATTCTCTCCAGAAGAGGAGGCGCGAATGTCCACTGTGTTTTCTGTGGCTGCCTTGAGACACGTTTTCCACAAGTAGTGTCTTCCAAGCGCTTGCTCGTCACTCAGCTTCAGCCGTCTGTCTTTTCACACTTACATTACCCCATTTCCCTGACAGACCATCAGTCCTGAGGGACAGACTGCTTCCCTCTAGTTAACAAGGGACAACCAACGCTTAGGTCAGTACTTGCCTCCCAAGAGACTCTGAGCCAATGTTCATCAGTAAACAGTTCCAAAAAGCCCACATCTCTTCTCCAGTCCTCCAACAGCATGACACTAAAGAAAGGAACATCTGACCAGATAACCTTGTACCATTAATAAAGTGGCACTGTGTTGCTTAAGGACAAGAGTGATCACAGTGGTCACCATAGGACAGACTGACACAAGCCTATGGCTTTCAGAGTACTTGCTTTGATGAAAAAAAATATGCTTAGAAATACCAGCAACTGATACACTGGGAACCAGCACAAGTTACCTACGGAGACACAGCCACATGATGACAACCTAGTAACACATTTTCATTCTTTTTAAAGGCGTACTTCAAGGAAAAGACCCTTGATTTTGTACTCCGACTCATTTCAGTAAAGCCAGAGCAGGCAGAAGGGCAGTACTCAGAGGGATTTCTGCCACTGTTCCACTCAGTGAGGAGTGGTGACTGTGAACCCTCCATCAACCTCTCCAAACCAGGAAGCCTTGAAGATGCCAAACGGCAACCCCAATGCCATTTTGTGTGTCTCTGCCAAACTCATAAGGTTCATGTGGAAGAAAGTGTCATGCAAACATGATGTATGGCGAAAGAGCAAAAGAGAATCTACAATTTTAAGACTTCACAAATCTCTGCTGGGAGTGGTGGTGCACACCTTTAGCCCCAGCACTGTGGGTGTGATGGTGCACACACACCTTTAGCCCCAGCACTGTGGGTGTGACAGTGCATACCTTTAGTCCTAGCACTCTGGAGTCAGAAGCAGGTGGATCTCTGTTAGTTCCAGGCCAGCCAGATCTAGAGACTCTGTCTCAAAAACAGACTTCATAATATGATGGATAACTGCAATTTATGAATATAATAGTGATATGAAGATTAATTTTTTGTTAGCAAAAATTACTATTTTAAGGCATTATAATAGTATGGTGGTTATGAATTTAAATCAAGTTTTTCTATAGATAAAAATACTGTACTGCATACCTACAAATAATAGAGACCTATGTGAATGTTCTTACTACAATAAAATAAAAACGAAGAGCTGACCTTTCAGAGGCGGTAAAACTACAGCACAGGAGCCGCCTTGACCACTCTCCTCACTGCACACTCTGACAAAGACATGGGTGGAGGAGGAGCCCAAGGGACCCCACCCCTTGCTGCTGACTGTTTGCTACTGACAGATGGCGGGGGGAGCGGACCACTGCCTTCAGCTGTGCACCCCCTGGTGACCCCAAGGGGCTTCAATGGATAGTTCCAAGCCTGTGGTTATACACAGGTGGTACTGGCTAAACTAAATAGATCACAAAACAAAACCAAACATCATGAATCTGGGACAGGGCCTGGTAGCCTTGAGGGAGGCGTACACAGGGGAGAGAGAGAACCACCAGTGCAAGGGAGGGAGCAATCAGAACCCATGGTATCTATGTATGAAACTGTCAAATAAAAAATACAAAAAATATTTAAAAAAAATAACCTGACAAAAGCAACTTAGGGTAAAAGATTTATCTTGGCTCATAGTTCCAGCCACACACGGCCTGGCCTTCCTCATGGGGAAGGGCCAGGCAGGAGCAGGAGGCAGCTGGTCACACTGTGCCCAATCAGGAAGCAGGGATGGACAGGAACTAGAGCTGGGCTATAAGGCCCAGGGCCACTACCAGTGCCTTACTTCCTCCAGCAAAGCCCCATCTCCTGAAGGTTCCACAACTTTCCCAAACACAGCACCTGCTGGGACCTCATGTTCAAAAGCCAGGAGCCCATGGGAGCATTCCATGGCCACCACAGACGTTTCCTCTAAGACACTGGACATGCTGAGGTCACTGGCTATGGTACCTACCATGCAGACCCACGCAGGTCCATACTCTGCTTTCACATACACTTATCATTTCTACAACAACAACAAAATGTAACTATGTAGAAGAGCGAGAAAAATGTAGGAACACAAGAAAGTCCCAAGATATTAAAAGTTCTGCAGTCGCTGCACCCGACTACACTGCACCATGTCCCCAGGCGACACCAAATTAAACAAGAAAAAAATAAAGGCCAGGCTACTAAATACCAAGTAAAATATTTTTAAAAATAATTACATCCAAGATGAAAAACATTACATTACACTTCAAAAGTCAGTTTCTATGAGTTTTCTCTTAAGGGCCTCATCGCAGACTGAAACTCATAGGAGGGACGGGGGCGAATGGGCATTACACCACTGTCAGCCAGCAGTTCCCATGTGGGAACAAATTAGAGAGAGAGACATTAATTTATTTAATTTTATATTTATTTATTTATTTTTGGTTTTGGTCTTTTTGAGACAGGGTCTCCCTGTAGCCCCTGCTGGCCTGGAACTCACTATGTAGACCAGACTGGCCTTGAACTCACAGTGATCTGCCTGTCTCTGCCTCCCAAGTGCTGGGATTAAAGGCATGCGCCACCATGCATGGCTATTATTTTTATTTTATGTCTATGCATGTATTGCCCGTGTGTGTGTAAGTTCACATGTGTCGTGCAATGACCGTGGAGGTCGGAAGAGGGTGTGGGATCCCCTGGAACTGGAGTTACAGACAGTTGTTAGCTGCCATGTGGGTGCTGGGATTCAAACCCAGGTCTTCTGCAAGAACAGCCAGCATTCTTAACCACTGAGCCATCACTCCAGTTCCCAGATACGTTATTTGAAAACAAAAACAAAAACACGGAAACCACTGTGTGAGACAAAATGTAACTCCGGGAGGCAGGGCAGTGTGGTTGTGAGCAGGCCTGGCTCTGTAGCCAGAGCTCTGAGTTCATATCCTGTCACCGCCCACAGCATGCGCACCCTGACCAAGTTACTAGACCCTCACCCTGGCCTCAGGCACAGGCCACTGAGTCGTGAAGGCCTAGCTGCTGGCTCTCTTCCTAGCTGTACTGTTGCTATGCTGTTACCATGGCATCTGCTCTCCCTGAGACTTCCCTCCAACCCAGATCTTACTCTGCTGGGTCTGATTCAGCAGGCTGGCAGCAGTCAAAACCATGTGGCACAGCTCCCCTCATGCCAATCTGTTTAAAACAGTAAACCTCTAGGCAAACAAGCACGTATGTGCCCGCTGTTTGTCGCTCCACCAAAGTTCCTGTAATCAGACAGGCAGTGACTGGAGCAAATGAAGATCGTTCACAGTAGCTGCCACCAGGGGCTGACTCAGGACCACACTGCTGGCCTGGCTGGCTACAAAGGCTGAGATTTGCACAATGGTCAGTCCTCCAGTCTGCGCTGGAAGGTTCTGGCTTGTCCCCCATCCAGGAAGGGCAGAGGCTCTTTGGGTAACTGATGTGCCAGGCTTGGGGAGCACAGAGTATTCTGCAGTCCTAGAACACTTTCTCCAAGGAGCTCTACCTGACACAAGAGTGATGCCTGCCACCAGCCGTAGCCTCAACTTCCCCTACCTGTAGCTTTTTCTTACAGGGAGAAACAAGGTTCCTGTCACATTCTCCTTCTGCCCTAGTGAACCTGGAGCTCAATTTTACAAACCCTGTGAGGAGCAGAGCTCGGAGCCTCGATACACAGCTTGCCTGCTCCCTTTTGCTCTTCCGTTTGCCTAGTTAGTGCATGCTCCCAGAGTGACTGTTAGCCAGTGTTCCTGCTTGCCGCACTGAGGCTGGATTCATGTTAGTGTGATAAGTAAAATACTAAAACCAGCTGCCTGCCTTTGCATTTGCTGTACACACATCCTCAAATACCAGGAAGGTGTTTTGGTTACTTTCTTTGGAATTAGAAATGATCGTGTAATTATTATAAAGTGCTTGCCTCGCATGTTAAGGCCCTGTGTTTGATCCCAAGCACCCTATAAATGGTATGGTGGCACACACCTGCAATCCCAGCACTCAGCAGGTACAGGCAGGAGGATCAGAAACGCAATGTCATCTGGGGCTACATTGAGAGCTTGAGGTCATCCTGGGCTACTTGAGACCCTCTGTGGCGAGAGAAGGAAGAAAAAAAAGAAAAACAAACAAACAAACAACAATTGCACTGGTAGCTTTGCTATTAAAAGTAAAATTTTATATGTTTCACAGTTTCTAGTTTAAAATCTTTAAGCCAAAACTGAACTGTCAAAGGATTACAAACCCCAGCTTAGCTGCAGTCACTGTTGGGAACAGGGAAGGGCCACTATACTTACAGGCAGTGTCTCTGGGGAAGCGGCAGGAGCTGGGGACCGGAAGCACTGCGCCCTGACTTAGGGAGCTAATTACCTCTTATTTGGAAATGGCCATCAGACACATTTGGACCAAGGAATTTAGATCAGATCATCACAAGGTAAGAGAAATACACAGGCTCCCCAAGATCCAGGCCCGGGTGGCAAAAGGAACCACAGGTGGCCAAGGAAGCATGAGGCCTCGCATCATCTCCAGGTGCAGGAAACGGGGGAGAAAGGAGCTTCCCGTTCACTTCTCCTCTCTCACTACATTGTCTTTGCTTTGAGGAAAAGAATTTCAGCAGGAATCATCAACTAATGCTGATTGGGGCTGATGAACATGTCATCACCCCCAACCCAAAACACCCTCAAATGTACAGTTATTTGAGAGCTCTAAAGGTAAAATAACATTTTAAAAATAAAGAAGCCTGCACTGATTTACACTTAACCTCAAGGGAGAAAAAAAAAAAAAACATAACAGAATGTCTACAATAAAAGGAGATGTATTTGACTCACAGCATTTTAGCATTTTATACAAATACTTTTTTGGGCCACTCAACAACTCTGTGGGGTAAACAGGAAGGTACTGTTAGAAGCATTTTACCAGGCAGGTTAGGTCATGTGGTGAGGAAGAGCCATGAGCACTGGAACCTGGTACTGGACTTCAAAGCTGTGGCCCAGCCACTGATTTACACTTAACCTCAAGGGAGAAAAAAAAAAAAAACATAACAGAATGTCTACAATAAAAGGAGATGTATTTGACTCACAGCATTTTAGCATTTTATACAAATACTTTTTTGGGCCACTCAACAACTCTGTGGGGTAAACAGGAAGGTACTGTTAGAAGCATTTTACCAGGCAGGTTAGGTCATGTGGTGAGGAAGAGCCATGAGCACTGGAACCTGGTACTGGACTTCAAAGCTGTGGCCCAGCCACGCAGCTTCCTGCCCGCATGTCTGAGTGTCTCAGAAAAGCATAAAAGCCCGACCTTCCCTTTTCCGGAAGCTCTAGCTCCCTTCTAAGGACGCTCTGTTACCTGGGCTTCACTCTTCTCTGAGCTCTCTTCCCGCCATGTGGCTGCCATGCAGCCAAACCCCAAGGCTGGCCTGACTCAAGCAGGACGACTTTCTCTCTGCTCCATCCCCCTGGCAGCTGCTGAGGATCAGGTTTGCTGGCCCTGGAGATTTTCTTTTAAACTTTAATAAAATTGTCCTCATGCTTAAAAAAAAAGAAAAAAAATGTGGCTCTTTCCCTGACATATTTAGCAACATGACTAAGACTAGATAAGCCCAGGACGGGAATGTACATACACACAGAAGCACACACATGCGCACTGCACACAGGCACACGCTTCCTCTTATAGAAATTATGTTCCTGCAGCTGGCATGGTGGCACACGCCTTTAATCCCAGCACTCGGGAGGCAGAGGCAGGCAGATCTCTGTGAGTTCGAGGCCAACCTGGTCTACAGGGAGACTCTGCCTCAAAGACCAAAACAAGACAAAGAAAAAGAAATTATGCTCCTGAGATGGGAAAGGAAATAAATTCCCTCACAGCAGCGAGTTTTCTGTAACTTCAGGGCCTCACAGTTGCTGGTGTGGGTTAGTTTCTCATAGAGAAGAACTCCTGGTTAGCTGTTACTCTCACTATTTGAAAACACTTCACATTTTATGACCCCAAATGGAAAACAAAAGGAACTTCTCCAGGCTCACTTTCTGAAAGTGTTCCAGAGACAACTCTCACTCACAAACAGCTCTGCCAGGCACATTCCCTCCACACTGGTGCTTCACAACAAAAACATCCACACTGTCTAGTCCGCAGGTATCCTGACGGACTTAAACCACTGTAGATAAATAAGTTAGTCACCATTTGAAATCTGTGACAAATCCTTTTTATACATCTATGGTTTCGGTTTTCCTTTACTGATTGTAAAATCTACATGAGAAATTTTATTGCAGTGATTCATGGATGAAAAGAAAATAGCTTATTTGCTTCACAAAGGTGTACATAAAAAATTCGCATCATTCACAAAATTAAAACGGTTTAAAACAGCTACAAAAGCGGCTCTCCTTAAAAGGTCTCTGCATTCCTGTGAGTGTCATGGTCTGACTATCCGAGTGCAGGCACAAAGCTGGCAAACCTGTTCTCTCACGCGTTTTCTGCCTTACACAAATGACTCTGTTTTATCATTTCTGACTCAAAAGCAAGCCAGAAAAAGGGAACCACTGCTTATGCTATTCTGGACCCTGGAACAATGCCCCACAACATGCCCTTTCTAATTTTACCATCGTGAACAGCAAGGAACTTCTAAGGCGTCAAACTATCAAAGTCAAGTTGCAGTCTACTTCTAGTGGACACACGCTTCCCTGAACTCTTGACACCACGGAAGAAGTGCTTAGTAACAACCAAGACTCTCTCTGTCATCTACAGTGAACACTTCAGCCTTGACAAACAGTACCTACTTTTCCCTAGTGATGATTTCTACAGCTCTTTAGAATCTGCATCTCTTTAAAATGCAGTAACCAAAACGGGACTTGCTCTCAGAAGGGTAGCAAGCAATTCCAAGCTCTGCTTTAGAGCACTGTTTACAGGACTAGAGATAAAGGATAAAGCCAGGGCCTTGCACATGTGAGCCAAGGACTCTGCACTGAGCTATATCCTCAGCCCCGGGAAAAAGGTTTTTCAAAGACTAGGAAGAACCAGAGACATTGCTCAGTGGTAAGCACTTGCCTAACACATTCAAGGTCAAAGGACCAGAATGGATGAACAAAGGAGTGAATGGTTCTCTGTTCATTTCAACTACTGACTCAAGGGCAGTCTGTGACTCTGTCGCCACCACATACCCACCCCTGCCCAACCTTCTCCCCTGCTATTTATATGGGTACACTTCCCTTCCACACACCATCTCATACTTCATTATGATTTTCACAGATCCATGCTTCGTAGTAGTTTATAGAAACAATTAGATATGCCACTTATAACTGCCATTTATGCCTTAAAATATTAGGAATATTAAAGTATATAATAAGCAATCCAACACAGTAAGCAGGATTAAGGTCATTGTATTACAATGGTTCCTACTAAACCTACCTCCACTGGACCATTGCTCTTCACCAGAGCTGCACGTGCCCTTTGCAAGGAGCCATTCATTAGCTTGTGAAGTCGTAAAATCAACTTTCTTAACCCCATCTGCTTCAGTGCCTTGTCCACAAATGGTCTATAAATAGAAGTCAGACAATGCCTACTGAAGCCAGCTTCGGTGCCACAGTCTGCTGCTTCCCAGCCCACAGGATCCTCCTCAGATTCGAGCCTCTCAAGCTTCCTGGATACGCAGTCCTGTGAGTGGACGTCCACAAAGCTGTCTGTGGATGGCCTGAGCTCTGAGACCCTCAGACTGGGGGCTCCTTCGTCGTCGCTCTCCTCCGTACTGTTCTCCAGCTCCTTCAACTCTCCCTCCGTGTCCTCTCCCTCGGATTCCAGCTCATGGCCTCTGGATGGCCTAGGGGAAGGGATTTCAAACACTGGCCAGCCAATGTCTGACAAGTTCTTGATGCCCAGAACAGTGCCCATAATCCTCAGTTTCTGATTTAAGTCTTTCGTGATATTTAGCCACAGACAGAGTGCCTGCACCCTGTCCTGGAAGTCCTTTGCAGCATACTTCTCATAGTCCTTCTGGAGCGCCTGCAACGATGGATAAAGTGCTTCTATGTACTCGAGCAGCTCCATGATCCGCTTCACCTGCTCGAATGAGACCCTCTGGCGCTGGAGATGCTCGTGACACCTGGAGCAGCCAGAACTCTTTGCTCCGTGTGGGGTCCTGCACTGCCCTTCTACTGAAGTACCATTGAAACTGGCTCCATTCCTAACAAAGGCCATGCTCCCATAATTGACTTTGAAAGTGAGTATTTCATTGATGATATCCGGGATGGCTTGGCGGGCCGTGTATAAAAACAGGTCCTGGTCATTGATGGTGCGACCTGCATGCCAGGCCTGTAGCTCTAACCAAATCAGTTCATTCGACCGGTTAAACCAGAAAGCAGACGTGTTTTCTTGTCCTCTTTGCTCCCTGTCCTTCTTCTTTGAGACTGAGGTAAGCTTTAGCAGAAGTCGTAATGTTTCAAAAAACTTTAAACGGTCTGCTGGACAGTCAGTCCTGGAAGTCTGGCGTGCCGTTCTGGCTATAGGCACGGGCACGGAGACCGGAAGCTTAGCATTGCTGCAGCCGAGGCTGAGGTAAGGCTTATTGAGATCCACATCTGGAATCGATTTTTTTGGCAAAGACCCAGCTACGGAATCCAGCATGAACGAGCACTGCGCGCTCTTCTTGTGGTCCCGCTCCGTGGTTCTCAGAGTGGCTCGCACCTTCCTCTCCTGCTTGTAGCTGTGCTCCTCTGCGGACTCCACCGGCTTCCCAGAGTCTTTGTGTGGGGACTGATTTGCTGTGCTCATTTTTTCTGGTTAGACAAAAAAAGAATATTATGAAAGTCTAAAATAAGTTATTCGATGTTTTAAACAAAACTGATATTCACATGTGTTTACATCATCAGGCTATTATTATAAAAAATAAAGTACCATATGCTGAAACTTAAAAGAATCAAAACACACATGTATACAATACCTCTAAATTTTTTAAACAATGCTATGCATTTTCCTTGCTATAGGGTACCTGTGACCACTGAAGGAACTACCTGTTAAATTCAACACTGCTGTTAGGAAACCCCATACGCACATAGTATAAGAACTCATCCTCAACTTTAAGAGGAGAAATGGCAAGGAGATCTGAAGAGAAGGCTGAGCTCAAGGTACACGGTCCCTGCCTCTGTCATGACTAAATACATAACTTAGAAGCAAATCACTTCAGTTTCCTGGGTTACTATTCTTACTGATAAAATGAGGTACAGTGACATTAAATGCTGAGACGCTGGGCTGAGGAGACACTCAGTTGGCAGTGCTGGCTGAAGAGATGCTCAGTGGATAGTGCTGGCTTGAGGAGATGCTTAGTGGATAGTGCTGGGCTGAGGAGATGCTCAGTGGATAGTGCTGGGCTGAGGAGACGCTCAGTGGATAGTGCTGGTTAAGGAGACACTCAGTGGATAGTGCTGGGCTGAGCAGACACTCAGTGGATAGTGCTGGGCTGAGGAGATGCTCAGTGGATAGTGCTGGGCTGAGGAGACGCTTACTGGATAGTGGCTTATTCAGCCTCTTGGTTTTTGTCACAAATGAATGAGCAGTAATATTTTAAACAACGTGAACCAAACTGAAGACACACAGACCAGTTGGTTGTAGTTTATCTAGTCTGCCATACTGGCATAGAAAACAATTCAAACTTAATAGGGAAAAAAAGTAAATACACACATTTCCTTCAAACACCTACAAAGGTTCTATTGTTTTGATTCCGAACTCTGGAATGAACACGCACATCTTCCTTCTGTTTGGACTTCGATGACTCTTCTGGTCTTACCCTGCTTCTCCCTGGAGGACACCCCACTCTCCAACCCCCAATTCCGTCAATAATGCCCAACCTGTAACACTATCCCAACCTCCTCCACACACACAAAACACCTTTCACAGAATCCATATTTAACATTTCTAGAACCAGAACAATACAGAATCAATGATAAAATCAATGTTTTAGGAGCAATTCACTAATAAATTGTATTCATAGTTTTCTTTACATACAAATACCTACAGGTAATGATTAGTTTTTATCTATAAACTATGAAAAAATTCTTTAAACAGATAAAAAGTTCTAAGCAGAACACAGTTTTATTATATTTTAGTATAAAACTATTACTACTATTTTTTAATTAACATCTTAAGATTGATGAAAATTTTATCTATAGTCTTACTTTATTTACTTCTAAATGCACTAAACCTTTATGTAATCCGTTAAAATAAATAGAAGCCCTCACAATCTTATTGAGTCTAGCTGCAAGTGCTTACCAACCCTTATTCTCACATGCATGCAAAATTGTCTAGACCAACCTTGACTTTGCTCTTATGTCCTGTTTTGTTTAACTCTGTGCGCTTTATCTTCATTAACAAAGTGCATACATACCACTCATTTTTGTTTAGTTCAGCAGTGGTACTTTAAAAATGACAGATATTTCCAAATTTTCCTGCACTAAATTTTTTCAGGTATCAATTCATACTATGTTTTCTTACTACAAAACATAGAACAAGCCAGGGGTGGTGGTACACACATTTAATTCCAGCACTTGGCGGGGGGGCGGGCAGAGGCAAGCAATCTCTGTGAGTTCGAGGCCAGCCTGATCTACATAGAGTTCCAGGCCAGCTGGGGCTACAGGGAGACCCTGTCTCAAAAAGACAAAAAAAAATACATACACACACACACACACACACACACATAAAATAACACAAACACTGTATCACTGTAGGGCTGAGGTAAAGACCACCAGTTTAGTTACCAATTCACTAATTTGCGAAGCCTTTGATGGAGACATCCACATGCAGATGCTGGCCTCAGGAGAGGACTCCAAGATGTGAACCTGGAGAGCACAGTGCCCACAGACACTAGGTAATAGGCCAGCAATCAGAGCATGCAGGAAAGGCACACAGGAAAAGCAAGTAAGACCTTGCATTATTAATTAGTAAGCACATCCAAATAAGCAGTTCTGAGTTAAGAGAACAAAATTTTGTGGAACAAAAGCAATTTTGTTAGTTTAGGATTTAAAAAGGAAAGAACTTGGGCTGGTGACGGCTCTCATCAGTAAAGAATCTGTTGTGCAAGCGTGCGGGTCCGAGTTCAGACACCAGCACTCACGGGAAAGCTGGGTGCAGGACTGGTACCCGTCACCTCGGCACCGAGGCGGAGACGGCAGGGGCTCCAGGGCTCCCTGGACAGTCAGTCTACCTGAATCTGTGAGCTTCAGGCTCAGTGAAAAACAAGGTGGAGAGTGATTAAGGAGACAATCAACCTTGAACTCTGGCCTGCACCTGCACATACACTTGCACAAACACACAAACAAGTACAAATACCACACCACATGAAAGAAGGAGGGCAAGCACTATGAACACTAATGTGGCATGCATTCCTGGAGATAGCCACAGAATGCTTGCATTAATTTACAATTTGAAAGTTAGAGAATAGTGAAAAGGTATTCTTTGTTTATCTATTCATTTCCTTCTATGATTTAACAGCCCTCAGAGAAACAAAGGCTCAACCGAGGATAACTGGGATGACTCTGCTAATCCCAGAAGACTGGCCATCAACACGTCTAGATCTATGCCGTACCCACCAAAGGGCAAACGTGACCAGCAGGAGATGAACTCTGTGCAGAGCTTGACATCGACAATGAAAAGGCCTTAAGGGGATGGGTGCCATGGTCCGCTTCTCCATACACACATAATCTCATTTTAGCAGGCCTGAGAAGCAAAGTCTTGTGATCATACCACGTATACACAAATCTTGTTGCACTTGCCTTACACCATACGAAATGATGTATGGTTTACAGAGTTTTCTGAAATGTATATTTATACAAGCCATGATACTTGTGTCTATAGTACTGTAACAAAAAGCAAACTGGGAAAGGAGCAAGATGGGGCAGAGAAGTGCTAAAGCAAAGATAAGTTGGTCTTTCAAAAAATACATACAAAGTAGAAATTCACACAGAATGATGCAATTCAAACTTAAAACAGACTTAAGCCCAGTCTAGCCACTGTATAAATACCATCTACACCTCAGAAGTTGGACTGGGGTTAGTCATTCTAGATAGTTATACTTTTCAAATGACATATTTATGGCAGTGTGAGTAAAAACAGCCGTGCTTTCTAAGATTGATGACAAGGCACACCTCCCACAATTATAAGAAACCTGTCACATTAGGGCGTTCTGGGGAGATATGGGGTTAGATACAGAACCTGCCTAAGCATTGCTTATTCACTCTTTCCCCTCTGACATCACAGACAACGTGTGCTGGACACACAGAACATCTGATGCTCAACTTCCATTCTAGAACGACAAAAGCAGCTCGTCGTAAGGGAAGACAATAACACCCCGGTCTCCTGAGGGCTTTAAACTGTGTGGTCTCTGTAGCAGGGGAGCAGAAACACAGCTGCTCCAACCACTAGTTATTTCTGACAAATGAGAAGAACATGCAGAATTCTTAAAATTTTGTTTTATTTACTTTGTGTGTACTAGGAAGGGGAGGCATATGCATGCCAGAGCACGCGTGTAGAGGTCGGTGGACAACTTGCAGGAGTCAGTTCTCTCCTTCCACCATGTGGGTCCTAGAGCCAAAACACACATGTTCAGGCTTGACAAAAGGCGCCTTTACCTGGTGAGCTATTTTATGTACTCACACAAATATTTGTAGTTTATAAGTAGCCTGAAAGTAGCCAATGACAAGCCGTGGGGCACATATGCTTAGAAGACACTCGGTTGGAGTCTCACCATCCACATCTAGAAATCAGTCCTTGCGTATGTATGAAATATATTCTGAAATGTTGTTCTTCCATCTCCCACACTTGCACCCATATGTTGGTCTTATCTGAGCTCTCAAGTGAGAAAACACACACGGGCACATCACCTTTCCCTGTAACATGAGGTGGCCAAGGGGATGCCCTAGACTATCTAGCGATGTTAGAGGTCTTCTCTTCAAGGCTAGGGAACATGTTAACAATCACTTAGGGTCCTGCTGATGGGCACATTCCTGGACCCACTCCCACTGAGCCACCATGCTAGAATGGCATTCTGTTCTAGGAAACACTGCTTTGTCAAATCCCTTCAGTTTCCAAGTAAGGTCTTTAGAGAAATTGTCACAATCCTTCCAACACCACAAAGATAACCAGAGAACCCAGCCGGTCAGACAATGGTAAAAGCTGAGGCAGAGACCCTAACCCTGGTGTCAGCCCACCACCTGTCAAAGCTGCTCACCAGTCAGAATGACTGACAGAAGAGCATGAAAAGGCATAAGAGAGAAGAGAGACAAGCCAGGTTCCAAATGTGAGTCTGCATGTGGGCTGCCAGAGGCCCGCGACAGCCTCACTGAGAGTAGAAGGCAGAGCTGAAACACGGGCTTAAACTCATGGAAGGAACAGTAAACATGCACGTGTGCATGCACACAGATGTGTACCTTGAGGTATTTGCTAATGACAGAAGGTTATACATATGGATGTGTGCAAACTGCTATAATTATCACAATAATTGTTCTATGTATAACTCAGCTATAATGGTATTATGCAAAGCCAACAATGATTAAAAGGCAGATTCTCTCTGAAAGATGCTTTGACCAAGGTGTGTATATCTTTGAAATTCCAATTTAACTAACTTAAACTATAAAATGAACTTTCTTTCTTCCTTCTGTGATATTAAAGGAGAAAGAAACAGCTACATTTGGCTAATCGTTCAAATCTTATCAAAATCTTAACTGATAAAATATGGGTAAGATTTACTGCAATCCAAAAGCGATGGGTGTGTTAGTAGAGAACGACT